GAATCACTATATATACATATGCAAGACTCAGATTGATGTCGAGTCTCTAATCGACCTCCATTCCTCAAGTTGACATCCAAATCGGACGTCAAAATAGAATAAGATTCCAAATCTACATGTATGACCAATTATATACCCCTGTAATAGATGCATTTTTTGTTTTTCTCAAATCAATGTCCCAATAGTATTGGCTTCTCTAATTTTCCTTTTTACAGACTAGCCAAAATGAAATCACAGTTTAATAAAATGGTAGAATGAACCTAATACTGAATAAAATGCTTTGCTGAGCGCAGCCTGATATGACCGCAGAGGTCGAACCCTGAACAGTTGGGGCGGACACAATATTCAAGCTTGATACTGTCTGAATTTGGATTGTGATCAAATTTTTGACATAATATAGGTTTCTGACACAAAATAAATGTGGTCAAAGATCTTATAAATCCATTGCTCAATACTGTGCAATTGAAGATTTCTTCTTGAAACTTCGAAATTTTAAAGATTTTGAAAAAAAAATATGAATCCCCTTAAAAAAATTGGGAAAAAATTCCCCCCTCCCCAACTTTTTGAACCCCCCCCCTTGGAGCAATAACCCCAAAACTCAATCCCAGCCTTTTCTTTGTAGTATGGAACCTTGTAGTACAATTTCAGAGAGATCCATACACTTACACACAAGTTATTGTCTGGAAACTAGAAAAATGCTTGTTTTTGGCCCTTTTTTGGCCCCTAATTCCTACTTGTTTATGGCAATTAACCCCAAACTCAATCCCAGCCTTCCCTTTGTTATATGGAACCTTGTGGTACAATGTCAGAGAGATCCATACACTCACACAGAAGTTATTGTCTGGAAACTTGAAAAATGCTTGTTTTAAGCCCCTTTTTGGCCCTTAAATCCTAAACTGTTGGCCCCCATAACCCCTAAAATAATCCCAACCTTCTGCTTGTGGTATTAAACATTGTGGTACAATTTCAGAGCAATCGAAATACTTATACACAAGTTATTATCCTGAAACTAGAAAAATGCTTGTTTTGGGCCCCTTTTAGGACCCCTAATTCCTAAACGGTTGGGACTATCATCCCCAAAATCAATCCCAACCTTTCTTTTGTTGTATTGAACCTTCTTAAAAAATTTCATAGAGATCCATTCACTTTAACTAAAGTTATTGTCCGGAAACCAATGTGTCTTCGGACGAAGACGCAGACGACGACATCATACCATTATACGATCCCAAAAAAATTTTTTCAGTTGTATAAAAAGTCTTGCAAATACATGTAGTATACATTTCAACAATTAGCTGTACTTTTTTATTTTGTCTATTGTTTGAGACTGTATATTGACCTCTAGATGTCTTTTAATTATCTTTGGCATTGGGTTGCTGTCTTATTGTTGTTTTGTATATATTCATGTGGCATTTAAAAAAGAGGGACGAAAGATACCAGAGGGACAGTCAAACTCATAGATCGAAAACAAACTGACAACGCCATGGCCAAAAATAAAAAGACAAACAGACAAATAATAGTACAGATGACACAACAAAGAAAACTAAAGACTAAGCAACACAAACCCCACCAAAAACTGGGGGTGATCTCAGGTGCTCCGGAAGGGTAAGCAGATCCTGCTCCACATGTGTTGCTTATGTTATTACAAATCCGGTAAATAGTCTAATTCGGTAAGTCACATTCGTGAAAAGGGAAGGGTATTGTAGTTATGACATAAGGAACATATCCGATATCATCTGTGAAATGGTTATTCCATAACGGTCAACCAACTCGTGATGGCGTCCGTAAAATTTACGAAGGGATGATTTTAACTTCACCATTTGGAACTCTTGGTTTAATAGCTTCCTTGTGAGCAGCAATCCTCTATCAAGGAAATCATGATAGGATTTACTTATATGAATATGAAAGGAATATGACAACGTAGATCAAGAGGATGAACTTCTTTCACCAAAATATTAATATGCATGTACATGTAAAAATGCAGGCAGACAGTTGAAGCACATGAGTGAGATAATGTTGATAGGGGAGATAATTATTTAAAACCATACAGTTTACTTCCCTTTGTACAGTACCTGTTAAAGAAATTCAGATTAAACAAAGTTATCTGATATAAAGCTTATTTTTTTCTTCAAAAAAACAACCAAAAATATCCATGATTACATGTCAAATGCATTGACTTGATTAGCCAAATTTTGACTTGCAGTTTTAACACACTAAACAGTCATTAACATGTAGAATGCATACTAAACTAGAGGCTCTAAAGAGCCTGTGTCGCTCACCTTAGTCTATGTGCATATTAAACAAAGGACACAGATGGATTCATGACAAAATTTTGTTTTGGTGATGGTGATGTGTTTGTAGATCTTACTTTACTGAACATTCTTGCTGCTTACAATTATCTCTATCTATAATGAACTTGGCCTAGTAGTTACAGTGGAAAATATTTTGTAAAAATTTACAAAAATTTACAAAATTTATGAAAATTGTAAAAAATTGACTATAAAGGGCAATAACTCCTTAAGGGGTCAATTGACCATTATGGTCATGTTGACTTATTTGTAGATCTTAGATATGAGCCAAAAACTGCATTTTACCCTATGTACTATTTTTTAGCCATGTCGGCCATCTTGGTTCGCGGGCGGGGTCATCAGACACATATATTAAACTAAATACCCTAATGATGATTGTGGACAAGTTTGGTTAAATTTGTCTTAGTAGTTTCAGAGGAGAAGATTTTTGTAAAAGATTACAAAAATTTACGAAAAAATGGTTAAAAATTGACTATAAAGGGCAATAACTCCTTAAGGGGTCAACTGACCATTATGGTCATGTTGACTTATTTGTAGATCTTACTTTGGTGAACATTATTGCTGTTTACAGTTTATCTCTATCTATAATAATATTCAAGATAATAACAAAAAACGGCAAAATTTCCTTAAAATTACCAATTCAGGGGCAGCAACCCAACAAAAGAATGTCCAATTCATCTGAAAATTTCAGGGCAGATAGATCTTGACCTGATAAACAATTTTACCCCGTCAGATTTGCTCTAAATGCTTTGATGTCAGAGATATAAGCCAAAATCTACATTTTACCCTTATGTTCTATTTTTAACCATGGCGGCCATCTTGGTTGGTTGGCCAGGTCACCGGACACATTTTTTAAACTAGATACACCAATGATGATTGTGGCCAAGTTTGGTTTAATTTGGCCAAGTAGTTTCAGAGGAGAAGATTTTTGTAAAAGTTAACGACGACGGACGACGACGACGACGGACGACGGACGCCAAGTGATGAGAAAAGCTCACTTGGCCCTTTGGGCCAGGTGAGCTAAAAATAAACTTATATTTAATTCCCTTTTCAATTTTAATGTATGAACAAAACTAAAGACTAAGCCATAAAAAGACTTTTTTTTATCTCATTTCAAAACTCTGCATTAGAAAATGACCTATATTTTCAAGGAGAGCTTTTTATTCACTAGTCATTAACCATAAAAAATTTTATTTGCAGTCTAAATTTACAAAATTTTGACAGTTCCATAAATTTGCATAACATAATTCACACAACCTGTTCTTGAATGGACATTCCATTAATAAATGAGACTCACCTCAATATCATTATAATAAAAAAACTTTTCAAGACAATTTACATGGATAAGTTTGTGATTACCGGTAGGTCAGTTTAAGGGGAACCATTAGTGGTAGGTCAATGATATTTGGTATGCAGATGTATTAGCATTGTCATATCTCCTTTCTATGGAGATTATTTGGCTCCTACCCTTCAGTCATGGTCTATAAACAAAGATTTATTTGAATCTGGAATAATATGTAATTCTGGAAAATTGATAATAATTGTATGATGAAAACTAACCCAATTAAGGAAGGTTACCCATACATGCACGGCTAAGAGGGGCTAGTGAGTTCTCTCTGAAGTATCAGTGAAAGTAACCTCCATAGTTTGGTTAGTTTTCATCATACTTTTCTTATCAATTTTACAGAATTCAAAATTATCCCAGATTCAAATAATTCCTTGTTTATTGATTTGAATATTTTTAACAGTTATCATGTTAAAGTTTGTGATCAGATCATTTTAAGATCAACAACTAATATTAAGTCAATGAAAACAACTACAATTCATTTAGGTTGAAGTGTTATGGGATTTTTTTGTTAGAGTTTTCAATAACTTTTCACCCCTAAAAAAAATCTAAATCAGGTTTCACATTGATAAATATAAAAGAACAGAGTTCCAAAGTCCCTCGTGTTGAACATATTTTATCTGTCCAAGGGCAATAACTGGTTTTTTTTGGAGGAGGTATTTTTTTTTTTATAAATATCTTACTAAGTAATTAAATGACAAGCAGTATATGTTGAGATTTTGTTAACTTAGGGAGCTACCATTTGATTTTTATGGGGGGCTAGGATGAAAAAAAGTTGTCCTGCCCTTTTTTTTATAGTTGTTACAATCTCTGTCCTGCCTTTTTATTTTTCACTCTATTCGGTCCTGCCTTTTTTTTTATTAGTTTATCCTGACTTTTTTTACATAAATTGTCATCCTGCCTTTTTTTGCCAAGTTGCTCATCCTGTCTTTTTTTTTACTCAAAACTCCTGTCCTGCCTTTTTTCAAATTTCATCCTAGCCCCCCCCCATAAAAATCAAATGGTAGCTCCCTAATGTTGTCATTATTTTTTTTTATAAAAAAAATATTTGTGAAAAAATTATGTGTAGGCACGTTCCTAAAGTGGCTAACGGCAGCTACGCCCCTGAAATTAATTTACTGTCTATTATACTGGCAATGACCATGAATTCAGATATAACAATTATGGGTGATTTTAATTTTAATTTTAAAGCACCAAACAAACCTCCTCAAAAATGGCTGAACGTTTTAGAATCGTACAATTTTCAACAACTGATTGTAGATGCCACAAGGGTAACAAAAGATTCTAGTACATTGATTGATCATATTTATGTCAATAATCCAATTATGGTACATGAATCACATGTGTGTAGATATGCAATTAGTGACCATTACCCTATCTGTTTAACAAGGAAAGAAGCAAATATAGGAAAAAAGAATACACACAGTACAATTACTTATAGAAATTTCAAAAATTTCAACCAAGATGAATTTTTATTAGATCTGCAAACTACACCTTTTCATAAAATTGAATTTGAAGAAAACCCCTCTGACTGTCTACAATTGTTTTATGATATGTTGAACAAAGCTTTAGATAAACATGCTCCTGTTGTTAAAAAGAGAGTAAAAAGGGACAGACAGCCTGAATGGTATAACAGTGAAATCATTTACGCTAGGAATATGAGAGATAAATATAATGCACTTGGTTTATGGAGTGAGTATAGATTTTGGAGAAATAAAACTAAACATATCATAGATAGCTCAAAAAAGAATTATTATAAAAATATGGTAAAAGACTCCAATGACCCTAAAACTTTATGGAAATGTCTTCACAGTCTGAACCCAAAAGTTAAAAATACACCATATGAATTAGCCACTGAAGATAACAATACAACTAAAAGTAAAAAATCAATAGCAGAAACTTTTAATAACTTTTTCACTTCCTGTGCTGAAAAATTAAGAGAACAAGGAAGTTATACACCTGTAAACAAAGCAGATTTCAGTAATCTTGGTAAATTTGTTAAAAATAAATTACATAAACATGATAAATTTTCTATACCACCAGTGATCATGAATGAGCTATTTAATGAGTTAACAAAACTTGATATAAACAAAGCATCTGGTATGGATAATATAGGACCAAAAATCCTAAGATTAAGCGCCCCTGTTATTGCATCACCTCTCACATACATATTTAACAGAATGATAGATACTGGTATATATCCTTCTTTACTGAAGAATGCTAAGGTAACACCAGTTTTCAAGGATGGTGACAAGCTTTTAGCAACAAATTACAGACCTATATCTGTTCTTCCAACTTTATCAAAATTAATAGAAAGGCATGTTTCTAATAACATGTACAAATACTTATCTAAACTTAAACTTTTACACCCTACACAATCTGGTTTCAGGCCGCAGCATTCTTGTCAAACTGCACTTATGAATATCATTGACAAATGGTTGCAAGAAATGAATGATGGTAATTTAAACCTAGCAATTTTATTAGATTTTAAAAAAGCTTTTGATTTGGTAGATCATGACATTCTTTGTTTAAAGCTTGAAATTTATGGATTTAGTGAGGCTACTGTTAGTTTTTTCAAGTCATACCTGAATAACAGAAAACAGCAGGTAAACATTTGTAATGTTTACTCTGAACAACAACATGTAAAATTTGGTGTCCCCCAAGGTTCTATACTTGGTCCTCTATTGTTTGTGCTATTTATAAACGACCTTCCCTTATGCATTGAAAATTGTGAAACAGACCTATATGCTGATGACACCACTCTTCATAAATCAGGGAAAAACATAGAAAATATACATGATGATGTTCAAGAAGATTTATACAGGGTTGAAGAGTGGTGCAAAATGAATAACATGTTCATTAATGCAAATAAAACAAAATGTTTGGTTACTGGAACAAAGCAGAAACTATCAATTCAGACTTATCAACCAAACTTAATAATAGATTCAAAAGTATTACAAAATTCTTCATGTGAAAAATTATTAGGTGTTAAAATTGACAGCACACTTAACTGGAGAAATCAAATTGACCAAGTTTGTGCTAATATATCATCCAGAATATACCTCCTTTCTAAAATAAAGAAATTTTTAGATATAAATGCAAGGAAAACATATTACAATGGGTATATTCTGCCCCTGATTGACTACTGCTGTATTATTTGGGGTGAATGTAAAAATGAAGGGATAGCAAGAATTTTAAAACTCCAAAAAAGGGCAGCAAGATTAATTCTAGATGCAGTTCCTTTATCCCCCTCAGCCCCCTTATTTAAAGAACTTGGGTGGATGACAGTTGACAATAGAATAAAATACCACAAATATTTACTTCTATATAAATGTATATGTATGGAAGCACCAATGTACCTAGTTCAAAAGTTTAAACTGAAATCAGATAATAATCCTTACTCCCTGAGAGGCGTCACTCAAGGTAATCTGATAGTTCCTAAGCCAAAAGCTGAGCTATTTAAGAAATCTTTTGTTTATTCTGGATCAGTGTTATGGAATGGACTACCAAACAAAATGCATAAAGCTCAAAACACTTATACTTTTAAACAAAGTATCAAGAAGTACTTAACACAGTCCTGATAAGATTATGTTTTCTACAATGTATTTGTATATTCTTTTATTTATATTTGTATTTGATTTTTTGACTACATGTACATCTTGAACAGCCTTATATCTTATCATGTTAGTAATATTACATTGAACTAATTGACTGTAAATTAACTATGTGTAGATATCTGTTTTTTGATTGTATTGTAATTTGTATGTGAGGGCCTCAGGGAAGATTAGTTTATTGTAACTAACTGAGTTTACCCTCTTTAAATAAAGAATTTATTATTATTATACTAATAAATAGTCCCAGGACATATTGATCATCAGTGACCCTTTGGAGCCTCTGTGTGTCTATCGTCAAGCTCTTTCGTGGTGAAGGGAATTTTAAATTCTGGTCCCTGTTGCGTTTTATATCATTTCAATATTCAAGTCATTTCCCAAAATTATAAATGACATCGATCAAATCAAAACAATAATTTTGGGGATGAATAATGACAACATGATAGATAGATGACCATTCCATCAGTGCATCTGTTTTACTAAAAATCAAAATGGACTCCTTAGAAGAGCTTGCAAAAACAAGAAACTTGTTAGAACAATTAAACATAGGCGTCATAAGAAATCTAGGTATTTTCTTACACTTCGACAATACATCGTGATTCTGATCCTAAGGTCAATTTATATGTTCAGTGGCGGATCCAGAACTTTTCATAAAGGGGGGGGGGTGGGCGCTGACTGACCTAAGGATTGGCCCGCTCCAATCATGCTTCAGTGTTTCCCTATATAATCAACAAAATTTTTCCCACAAAGCCACCCCCCTGGATCCACCTATGATGTTGACACAACTGGTCTCTTTGTTTTTTCTTGTTTCATTTAGTACTATAGTTTCACTGAGTAATGTCACACTGTACTAAGATACATAATACACCTTATCGCTTGGCGATGCTATTTATTCCAATCCGGATAAATTCTGAAATTACACAACTTTTTTATCCAGTTGAAGCTATCTTTGGCCCTGTTTAAACAATGTATTATATATGCATGAAACTTTTCAAAAAGAGACATGTTTAAACCATGGTAAACACCTCATACAAAGCATTTTTATGATTTTAATTTATATTTTAAAAAGTGGATCATAAAATAATCTATCATAGTTTCAAAATGTTCGCTTTCTAAACATTTTCCTTTCTTAGCTCGTTACTGATGACCTTTGTTTTTGCAACACTTGACCCAAACAGGAAGTTGTCTAAATGACTGTTTTTTTCTGGATTGGACTAAATAGCGATAAGGTGTATGTCAAGAGTGAAAAATTGGGAAAATAGCATCACAACTTATCAAACACAATGCAATCTTCCAACTGATTTGAGTGGCTGAATTATAATTGAAAATGTGCCCTCTCCTTTAATGAATACCTGTCTGCATACACAATTTTGCTCATGAACTACATGCTATCTTTTTCATCCATAGTGTCACAAATGCATGATTTCTAATAGACATATTTACACATGTATGCAAATTTGTCTACCATAACGTAAAATAACACAAGTTCCTGTAAAATTTGACATCACAAAATAATTAAAAAGTGATTGTTGTTTGACATCAGAAGGTTATTCGGAGCAGATCAAAGGTGATTCAGAGACAAAATTCAGCTAAATACCAAAAGTGTATTTACGTTTATAAAAGGCAGGTGATACCTGTGAAAAGGAGACCAAGTCAGCAAACCTTTAAAATACTTTATGATATCCTGCTCATACCAGATTTTTATATTTACAGGTAAACATTTTTTGTAAAAATATTCCCAGCATAATTTCTGGTGAAAAAGTCACTGAATTACGAAAACTTTTCCGATGTTGGTCTTATTGTTAGGAATTTTATGTATGACATCCTTTTCAATGTAAACGAAAAGAAATCTATTTTAAGGATTGCATTTTTTTTTTTGCTAGTTTTAAATTATAGTTTGATTATAAGCATAATAGTTTATACAAAATTGGCTTTCTACTGATCTTTGTTCAGATACAAAAATCTGCCTGATTGATCTGAGGTGAGTTTCCCAAGAGAACTTTTTTTTTGCTATAAAACAATGTGCTGAACTACACATTTATTTTTTGGTTTAATTCATTTTCTTACTGTTATTGGGGACAATTATTGGGGACTTCCTCCCCATATTAAGAAATTACTACTCAAACATAATCTGTAAAAGTTGAACAAATTTCTTTTTTTCCAATTTTTATTTTGTTTAAAATGGGAAACAATAATGATTGTTAATAATCAGCTATCACCTTTGGTTTCATGTAAGCAATCAGTTTTTCTGAAGGTTTAACAGACAAAAGTGTGGTAAAATCAGCGTTGAACCTGTGATTTTTCTTACAATGTGTGAAGAGAGACCAACTATTCATTAATATTTGACTGCTGACTTACCACTTGGTTGATAAAAAAGGAATATAATATTAATACGCAATGTGTTTCTCTGTTTTCTGTTTGGAAGGAACTTTGTATTAACTACTTGTAGAGTGGCGTACATGTATTACAATTCCAGAATTGCTGAATAGAATCTGTACCACATTTTTATTGAAGACACCATTCCATTCATTAGTTTGTTCTTTTAAAAAAGATATGATTAAAATAGTCGGATTACAACAGTTAGTAAAATAGTTTGCCTATAGAGTTGGGCCAAATTGAAACAAAGAAAAGAACCTGGTTCACCAGTTAGATGACAAATATAAAAATAAGGAGACAACTATTCACAAAAGTTCAAATGAAGTGAATGTAAGCAATTACAGGCAACTGTATGGCCTTTCATATAATTCAACCATGAGAAAACCCTATACTGTGTCTGTATAGTCGGCTATAAAAGAGCCCAAAATGAAAAATATGAAACAATTCAACTGAGAAAACAAACAGCCTAATTTATGACAAAACAATTTGCGAAAAACAAATATGACGGAGAGGAACCAATGACAACCACTGAAGTACAGGCTCCTGATTTGGGACAGAACGTGGCAGGGTTAAACTAGTTTTCTGGTACCAAACCGTCCCCCTCCTCAGACTAAAAAGGCTTCCTTTAAGTATCTCAGCTATTTACCTTTTGTCAAGACATTGGAGCAGAAAAAAGTAAATTGCAAGAATGCTATTTTTGGTTTGTTTTTTATTTTATTAGTGGCCCATTATACTTTGACAATTTGCTTTTTGTGAAATTACTACAGATTTAAAAAGATTATATTTTGAATGTAGTAAATTCTAGATAAACATAACTTGATTGAGGTTTTCAAATTTTGGTAGGTTTATTGATGGCATATTTTGTGAAGGTATTACATATTCAAGTGTTAATAAACAAACCCTAAAATTTCCTCAAATTTCTTCATGTTTGTTATATTTCAAATCTTCAAAGAAATAACGAGTACACCTTAAAAAAAAATTTAACACCATAAAACCAAATTGTTGGAAGCTTATTGGTTGTCAATATTGAATTTTTGTCAAGTATAAGACAACTCTAAATCACCAATTTTCTTTATTGCCGTGAATAAAATGCATATGGTACTGTTATTTTGTACGGATTACAAAATGTCATGGCTCAATTCATAAAAAATTTACAGGAAAATCTTTTTATGAAAAAAATTCAATAATTTTAAATATTGAGAATAACAGCTGGCAAATTGTGTAATTTTTCTGTTTGTTAACACTATCAACCACTTAAATACATTAATAAACAGACTAATCTTACAGTACACACAAATAAAAAAGTGAAAAATCCTTCTTAAGTAAAAGTAATACAGAAAAAGTATAGTTTAAAAAGTTTTTCCTTATTGCTATCAAATCATATTCTTTATAGAAAAAAAGACTGGTGTATGCAAAATTGAGTTGGACCAAAGATCCCCAGCAGATCGTCATGCTGTTTTGATGTGGGAACAGGTAGAATTTTTTTGAATTTTCAGTAAAAACCAACAATTCTTAAATTTTATTTCATTATCTGTCATTTGTTGGTCACTTGTCCTGTCTTCTCTGTGCTTTAGAAAAATCAACAAATAAAAGGAAATATGGGTTGAATATTAATTAAACAGCAAACAAACAACACAAAACTCAAAAGACATTTAGAGGTTGATATAACGTCTTCTATAGTAGACAGATGTCTAGAAAAATCATCAAATAGTTGTAGATTGCCTCAAGTCTAGAAAAGTAGGAAATAAATTTAGAATAGATTATAAAAGTTCTGATTTCATCAACAAATTCCCCAAAACAGTCTGAACATGAAAAATGTGATACTTTTAAGTAATATAAGATAAAAATAAGGAGATGTGGTATGATTGCCAATGAGACAACTATTCACCCAACTTCAAATGAAGTGGATGTAAGCAATTATAGGCAACCTAAAGGCCTTCAAAAATGAGAAAACCCATGCTGTATAGTCAGCTATAAAAAAAACCCTGACATAAAAAATATATGAAACAATTCAATTGAAAAAACTAACAGCCTTATTTATAACAAAACAATTTACGAAAAAACAAGTATGACAGACATGAACCAACGACAACCACTGAACTACAGGCTCCTGACTTGGGACAGGCACATAAAGAATTAAGCAGGGTTAAACATGTTTGTGAGCACTCAACCCTCCCCTAACCTGGAACATTGGTGTTACAGCACAACATAGAGATCAAACTATAAAAATCAGTTGGAAATGGCTTTACTCATCAGATCTTTACAAAGCAGAAAAAACATCTAACAAAAACACAGACCGTACGTGACAGGTTATTTATACATCTACAGCTCAACATTCATTGTAAGAACAAACTATAAAAATCAGTTGTTTTAATACATGTAAAGTGACAAACATGCAAAGACCTGCCAAGACCTACATAGCATCTACTTATTTATTTCAAGAAAGAATTTTGATTTAGAAACTGATAATCAAGGACTTAATGACACAATGAATGATTCATCAAGATTTTTCTGTTTGTTACGTATAATTCATTTTAATTATTAGAGAAACGGTTGCTTCCTGCCAGAAGATTTCAAGAACTTTTATTTGACAACTGATGGCTTCAAATTGACATGGAATGTGAAAATGGACAGTAAGTTTAATTATATTTGAACAATGAGGACAAAACAATTAAAAAGCATACATGTGTACTTCACAATTAAGATTCACATGCTCCACAGTATAAATAATGAAACAACAAACACAAATGTACCCCCAAAAATGGATGATAATGAAACTGCAAGCACCCTAAATATATCAAGCACATTTGAATATAAAGCAGTAAATACACATGTACCACAAAATTAATGAAACTAAAAAAAAGATGTACAGTCCATACAATAAGTAATGATTTATTAAAGCAACAAACAAATCCCACATCTTAAATAATCAATGAGAAACCTCAGTCTGTCATCTCAAAAATTTTTGCGGTCGTATATTGGTATCACATTGTCGTCGTCCGAAGACACTTGGTTTCCGGACAATAACTTTAGTATTAGTTAATAGAAATCTATGAAATTTAAACACAAGGTTTATAACCACAAAATGAAGGTTGGGATTGATTTTAGGGGTTATGGTAATTTCGGAATTAGAGGCCAAAAAAGGGGCAATTCGCAACAGCATAGTGTATTGCACAAAAGCCAAAATTGAATATAAATTCAAATCATATAACCAATTCTAAGTTCTTTGACTACAGTTATTCTGTGTCAGAAACCTATTATGTGTCAAACATTTAATTTCAATCCAAATTCAGACCTGTATCAAGCACAAATATTGTGTCCATTTTTGCCCCAACTGTTCAGGGTTGGACCTCTGTGCATTTATTTAGAATGGTTTCAAAGGGAGACAATTCAAATGTTTTGCTTTGGACTGTAGATTGTTTCACTACTCTATAGATAAACTATAAATGGTGAGATTTAATTGTGTGTTTTCTACTCTGGTTATGTATTATGGATATTCAACGGAAAATCAAAACTAAAACATTTCAACTTTTTTTTTGAATATGCTATCAAAAAGTAAGCTGGTTGCACACTTACAAAAAAAATATGATTAATTGAAAATTTAGAAAAAATGTATTTCAATTAAAAAAATCTGACTCAGCATATTGTCAGAAAAATTAAGCTATATAATCTCCTCCCTTTATGTTAAACTTTAAGGATATATTTCTAGAATATGCAAAAGTATGTTGATTTGCTGAAAACCTACTTTACTAATAGTTAAAAGTAAACTCCATTACTAATTCAAAACTTCATGAATCAATTTAATGCTGCCATATGTGAAAAGAAACTGCTCAAGTTTAAGGAGACAGTTGGCATATTTGTGAAAATGATATATATTCATATGGGTTACTGTATTTCATTTACTTTAAACAATGAGAATTTTTCATTATTATAGGACCAGAGATTTATAGACATCCTTTAGAACTGAGATTATCAGGGCTTTGTAAGCTAGCTGTGTCATGTTCATGTTCACTTTATGTATTATCTTAGTAATTTGTTAACATGTATCCATGCATGACTACACTTGTATTAAATTTGATACAACTAAATTAGATACACCTACATTGAAAAAGGAACACTAAATAAATAAATGTGTAATAATTGTAATGTTTGCAGAAAATAAATTTATTCGGAGTGTCCACCAATGGGAAATTAAGGGATACAGTGTTGATTCAAGACAAAAAACCTGTACATGCATGCACTTGACAAAACCCAATCAAAGGAACCACCAAACATGTATAATGAAAAAAAGTTACTATTAGGTTCTCTATGGCATGCATATCACAGGTTGTTGCGGAAACCTTATCTGGAATCTATTGGATAGGCTTGCATTTATAAAAATTTGAGAAGGTGTTTTTGGAAAGATTGAAACTATAGTCCAATTCTTTCCTGAGAAATCACCTCACCAACTAGGATGTAGCCATGCTAGCCACTTAAATCTACATACACTGACATATAGTTTCCGATACTACTTGTGTCCATGTAAATATATGCACAATTTAACTGTACACATTTGGGTTAAGTCTTTATGGCAGTTAAATCAAGTATGCACAAAATGTATGTCATTAGTTTTGTCAATTTGCTTGCTAGTGAAGTCATTTTTATTAAGTAAGAGTACATATACCATACCAGTATGACTTACAACACAGGCGGAGTTTAATTAAGGTCAATTTTTTATTATGGAGAGCACGGATACATTACCGGTATGATTGACTACACAAACAGAATTTAACTTGGAATCCCCTCCTCTGCCAATATTAATCAACCAAACTATCTTATTTTTAGCTCACCTTTCCTAATGTGAGCTTTTGCCATCACTTTGCATCCGTCATCATCCGTCCGGTGTAAACTATTTCAAACATCTTTTCCTCTGAAACTACTAAACCAATTCCAACCAAACTTAAGTTGAATGATCCTTAGGGTATCTAGAATAAAATGTTTGTTTTATTTTTTGTTTAGTCTAAAAACATGGCCGCCATAGCTAAAAATAGAACATAGGGGTAAAATGCAGTTTTTGGCTTATATCTCAAAAACTAAAGCATTTAGAGCAAATCTGACTGGGGGATAAAAATGTTCATTAGGTCAAGTTCTATCAGCCCTGAAATTTTCAGATCAATCTAACAACCCATTGTTGGGTTGATGCCACTAAATTGGTAATTTTAAGGAAATTTTACAGTTTTTGGTTATTATCTTGAATATTATTATAGATAAAGAAAAACTGTGAACAGCAAAAATGTTCAACAAAGTAAGATCTACAAATAAGTTTAATGACCAAAATTGTCAATTGACCCCTTAAGGAGTTATTGCCCTTTAAGGACAATTTTACACAATTTGTTTATCATGTTTTCTAACTTAAAAAATCTTCTCCTCTGAAACTACTGAACCAAATTAAACCAAACTTAAGCTGAATGATTCTTAGGTTATCATGAATAAAGTTTGTGTTTTATTTTCTGTTTCCTTAGAAAACATGGCCACCATGGCTAAAAATAGAACATAGGGTAACATGCAGTTTTTGGCTTATATCTCAAAAACTAAAGCACTTAGAGCAAATCAGACAAGAAGTTAAAGTATTCATTAGGTCAAGGTCTACCTGCCCTGAAATTATCAGCCAAATCAGGTATCTGATTTTTAGGTTATTGCCCCTAAATTGATGATTTTAAGGAAATTTTGCAGTTTTCGGTTATTATCTTATCGGATATTATTATAGATCAAGATAAACTGTAAACCGCAAAAATGTTCATCAAAGTAAGATCTACAAATCAGTTTTATATGACCAAAATTGTCAATTGATCCCTTAAGGAGTTATTGTCCTTTAAAGACAATTTTTCACAATTTTATCTAGTTTGCTTACTTTAAAAAATCATCGTCTTTGAAACTGCTGAATCAATTTCAGCCAAACTTGGGCTGAATGAGTTTCAGAGTATCTACCGTAGTATAAATTTTGTATTTTATTTTCTTGTACGTCAAGAAACATAGCCACTATGGCTAAAATGGAACATAGGGGTAAAATGCATTTTTTGCTTTTGAAGAAAATATGACAGATACAAAGAACATTTAAATGGCATTTTTAAGCCACTCATTAATATATGTTGAAAAGCAAAAATAATCATTGATGAAAGATTTAAGCAAAAAATTACAGGTGAGCGATTCAGGCCCTTGAGAGCCTCTTGTTTAGTCACATAGTTGTTTAGCTGACAATTCACTACAAAGCTTTTAAAATATACAGTTCCTGAACTCAATAATTATAATATGTAAGATTTTTATACATGTATGTAGAAATGAAACATTTGATTATTTACCTATTACTTTTGATTTACACTAGGTAAAATTATTTTAATCAACTAGCAAGTTTAAAGTGTAGCTCAGGGTGTACGGACTGTAACCTCATGAACTAGCAAGTTTAAATTCTAGCTCAGAGTGTACCGACTGTAACCTCATGAACTAGCAAGTTTAAAGTGTAGCTCAGGGTGAAAGGACTGTAACCTCATAAACAAGCAAGTTAAAAGTCTTGCTCAGGGTGTATGGACTGTAACCTCATGAACCAGCAAGTTTAAAGTGTAGCTGAGGGCGTATGGACTGTAACCTCATTTACTAGCAAGTTAAAAGTCTTGCTCAGGGCGTACAGATTTGTAACCTCATGAACTAGCAAGTTTAAAGCGTAGCTCAGGGTGTATGGACTGTAACCTCATGAACTAGCTAGTTAAAAGTCTTGTACAGGGTGTACAGACTGTAACCTCATGAACTTGCAAGTTTAAAGTGTAGCTCAGGATATTCAGACTGTAACCTCGTTAACTATCAAGTTTTAAAAGTGTAACTCAGGGTGTCAGTCTAGTACAAAGCAGGGTTCATATTCATATCACATTTATAATATGTTCAAGTCCTGAATATGAATTTTGATTGGACATTAAACAACCATCCGTCATAATCACACATGTTAGTTTTATTTTACATTTGCCATTTCAGTACTATCTATTGTAGGTAAAAATGAAATGGCACTATCCTAGATACCATTCCTCTTTCTAATTCTTAATTCATTTTAGAAATTGTCATTTATTTGAAAGGAATTGACTGTAAAATATTTGTTAACAATTTGTTAGTTTTCTGTTTTCCGAACAACAGTATTGGTATATATGCATATGTTCACATCTTGATTTTATTTATAACATCACATTGATTTATTCTGAAATTGGCTGCTTGAATTAATTTCAATAAAGTTGCAAAAAATGAGTATACTGTTCAAGTACCAATTTCTGTTAGAAAATCCTAGTTCGTTTCTGAGTTTTTTTAGGTGTATTTGTTTGTGGGATCGCACATTAATATTGCAAGTCATAAATATAGCCAAGCTTTACTTGTAAACATATTTAATCAAATCAAAGCTACATTTTTGTGCATTAAATATGTTAATTCGTAAAAGGTGTGAAATATATATCAATTTTATCAAGAATTTTTGTCATTTCAAATTAACAACAAATACTGTTTATAAGATAAGCATTGAGTTAAAATTTGAAAATCTAAACCTTCTTTATTTCTTGTGAAAGAAACTGACATTCTAATGAAAGCTTTGATATTGCTTTGTGTGAAAACATAAAGTTTTCCAAAATCAAGGACATCAAAAAGTGATGTGGTCATGTATCTTCATAAAACAAAACTTATATTAAAAGAAAACATGAAAAACTGGCATTTTCTTTTCTTATTCAGATATAACAGAAGTTTATAAATGATATAAAAAGTTTACACAATTGGTTAATGCCTAAACTGCTAGGTGGCAGTGACTAATCCTAGACTGGTAAAGACCGTAAAGTTGAATCACACAGGTGTCTTATCAGTATAGTAAATCAAGTGTCAGATAGCCAATATTGTTCATTACTTTATCACCTATTTCATGCTAAGATCATTTTAAACAAAACAAATTTAGGTATCCCTTTGTTATGCAACCATAAATCTCATTAATTATTGTTGTATTATGATTGAAATGTTTTTTTTAGATGGTCCTACTCCAGTTGGGAAGCTGTATATCAACAGAGTAAGTCAGTTGACCCGTATTGCTGGTAATGTGGCATCAAGTCATGTTAATCCTACATTGCTGGACCTAGAGGCAGACTCTGATAGTGAAGATGAAGCTACAGGTTTGATGTTCTACATTTACATGCATAGGGATGGTTGTGCAGTTTGCCAAAAAATTATGTTAATTCAGCTATAGATTGTAATATTTGTACTTCTTACTCTTAAAGTATGCAAACTGTCATTTATAACACATAAAAAAGAGTTTGAAGATACCATGGGGACTTTCAAGGTTTACAAGTCAAATAAAAAATCAGACAGTACAATGGCAAAAGACTGAGCAACAAAAACCCCACCAAAAACTGAATGTGATCTCAGGTTCTCCTGGAATGTAATTTTTTCTTGTTAAATTGCATTTCAGAGACAAAACCATATAAAAAAAAGTCAATATCATTTTTTTCTGTACCACAATTTATCAAACTGTTTCTTTTTTTGCTGATTGGCGCAAAATAGGACTTAATAAAGATTTAAAGGGTGACACATTTTTAAGTTTCATTAAAGTGTTCAGTTCTTAAAAGATTTCTTGGAAGTTCATAAAGTTTCTTTTTCAAGTTTTATGTGTCAGATTGATATATAACACCCTCAAAACTAGATTTATCATGCATGCAAATGTTTGCAATTAAACAGATGTTGATTTGAATGATTTTCTCTTTACCCATACATATTATAAAAAAAAAGTGAATTAAATATTTCTGTTCTTCATCTCAAAGTCTGATTAAAGCCTTCAACACAGAGCAAATGATCACACCTCCCAGCAAGAAGCTTATAATCCTTTCTGTTTAGTTTGTTTTTTACATTACATCTTGATAAAGTTTCAAGTATGAAAACCATATCTCTATTTTAAGAGTTTATGTTCATTTTCTTCTTGTTAATGCAGCAATAAAGATATACTTTAATACACATTGCTAGTTGGTTTATAGAATATATTCACAACATGCAATGGTTTTCAATAAATAATTATCTTTGATATCATATTTGTAGGTTTAGAGAAACCATCATTTGACAGCAGATGTAAAATATATGAAATGGATCCTTGTGATGGGTATGGGAGAGTTTGTTTAGTTTTCAGAGAAAACAAAACAGGTAAAATTATGTTAAATTTAGTAAGTTACAATACCATGAATTATTTCGTTCATTAGAGTTGTTTTGCGGTCGTATATTGGTATGACATTGGGGTCGTCCGAAGACACGTTGGTTTTCGCACTCTAACTTTAGTTTAAGTGTATGGATCTCTATGAAATTCTACCATAAGGTTCAATACCACAAAAGGAAGGTTGGGATTGATTTTGGGGGTTATGGTACCAACAGTTAAGGAATTAGGGGTCATAAAGGGGCCAAAAATAAGCATTTTTGTAACTTCCAGACATAACTTGTGTGTTAGTGTATGGATCTCTCTGACATTTTAGCACACGGTTACACATCACAAAGGGAATGCTGGGATTGATTTTGGGGGTAATTGCCTTAAAATTTTAGGAATTAGGAGCCAAAAAAGGGGCAAAAAACAAGCATTTTTCTAGTTTCATGACAATAACTTGTGTGTAAGTGTATGGATCTTTCTGAAATTGTACTACATGATTCCATATCACAAAGGAAAAGCTGGAATTAAGTTTGGGGGTAATTGCCCAAAACGTTCAGAAATAAGGGGCCAAAAAGGGGCCAAAAATAAGCATTTTTCTATTGTTCAGACAATAACTTGTGTTCAAGTGTATGGATCTCTTTGAAATTGTACTGCAAGGTACCATACCACAAAGGGAAGGCTGGGATATATTTTGGGGGTAATTGCCTCAAAATTTTAGGAATTTGGGGCCAATAAGGGGCAAAAAACAAGCATTTTTCTAGTTCCAGGACAATAACTTGTGTGTAAGTGTATGGATCTTTATGAAATTGTACTACAAGGTTCCATATCACAAAGGAAAAGCTGGAATTGAGTTTGGGGGTAATTGCCCAAAACATTTAGGAATAAGGGACCAAAAATAAGCATTTTTCTAGTCTTCAGACAATAAATTGTGTTCAAGTGTATGGATCTCTGAAATTGTACTGCAAGGTACTATACCACAAAGGGAAGGCTGGGATTGATTTTGGGGGTAATAGCCTCAAAATTTTAGGAATTAGGGGCCAAAAAGGGACAAAAAACAAGCATTTTTCTAGTTTCAGGACAATAACTTGTGTGTAAGTGTATGGATCTTTATGAAATTGTACTACAAGGTTCCATATCACAAAGGAAAAGCTGGAATTGAGTTTGGGGGTAATTGCCCAAAACGTTTAGAAATTTTGGGCCAAAAAGGGGCCAAAAAACAAGCATTTTTCTAGTTTCCATACAGTAACTTGTGTTCAAGTGTATGGATCTCTCTGAAATTGTACAGCAAGGTACCATACCACAAAGGGAAGGCTGGGATTGAGTTTGGGGTGATGAATCATAAGGGGGTTCAAAAAATTGGGGTGGGGGATTTTTTTTGTCCTTTTTTTCCTTTTTTTTTCTTTAAAATTTTCCATTTTAAATTGGTTATTTCTGATTTATATATAAAAGCAAATGATAATGATATGGTTTGAATAGGTAAATTAAAATTTTTTAAGTTCTTAGACCACATTCATTCTGTGTCAGAAACCTATGATGTGTCAAATATTTAATCACAATCCAAATTCAGTGCTGTATCAAGCTTGAATGTTGTGTCAATTCTTGCCCCAACTGTTCAGGGTTCGACCTCTGCGGTCGTATCAAGCTGCGTCCAGAGGAGCATTTTATTTTAATTTGAAAAAAGTAAATGTTATATTTATTAAGAAGGCATGTTGCCTCTTATGGAATTAGGATCTGGAATGATGATTTTAATAAATATCTAGTTATACAAGTGGAGAGGTAGATCAAAGAATGTGATGACCTTTTACATGTTTATCATGTTATGATTATTGTTTTACAGTTGTTTTTATGCAGTTAAGCTGCCTTATGCTAGTGTAGGATTTAATAATGTCCCCCATGAAATAATTATTTCATAGTAAATACTGTCCATGGACAATATTTACTTATTTAAATGTGTCCCGGACACAATTTCCTATGAAAATATGTCCTCAGGTATGAAAAAGTGTCCATGAACATTGACATTATTTAACACTATAATTCTGTCCAGGTGGACATTTTTTCACAGGACATTATGTCCGCCAGGACATTTTTTGATATGATCAAAGTATTAAATGATATCCATTGCCTTGTTATTACTGGACGTATTTTAACCTATAATTGCGAACTTTAATACATTGTTACTTTGACAGAGAGTTGTCTCATTGGCACTCATACCATCCTTATCTTCTTATTTATATTTTTTAATATATATACATGTATATTATTTAAATTCAAACGAGTAACAGATGTTGTTCAGTATTATTTTCCTTGGAGGACACAATTTAATAACAATTACTACAAAAAATTGTCCTGTAGGTGGACCATATTTCATAACTGTTGCTGTAAAATGCTGTCTACTTAGGGGACAATATTTCATGGCAATGGACATTATTTAATACCAAAACCTCTATATTTTCTATTGCTTTCTTCTCATAATAAATATAGTTAAGTTCTTCACATTTGATTTTATACTTTACACACTTCCTTCTTTTTGTTCTTCTTTCATTGTCATTAGCATTAGCTGGGTATTTCTGAGTACTTAAATGTCTCTATATTCACTTCCATCCATTATTTGTTTGTTTACAGTTGTATATTAATCAATTTCTAATCAATCGTTCAGATTTTATTAAAATTCAAGTATAATAAAAAATGACCTTTGTATTACTTCCATTTGGAGGACACAATTTAATAGAAACTACTATGAAAACTTGTCCTGTAGGTGGACACTATTTCATAACTTTTGCAGTAAAAATCTGTCCACTTGAGGGACAATATTTCATGGCAATGGACATTATTTAATACCAAAATTCTATGAAAAACTGTCCAGGTGGACACTTTTTCACAGGACACTATTATGTCTTACATAAGTACCCTAGATTTGTTTTTTACTCAACGAATGCTGATATAGGTGTCATTATTGTTATCTAACAGGCTAATATGTTTTTTATAACTAATTGGACAATTTTTTCATACTTTTAATTCTGCAATACAAAAAATATGGCCAAAATAACCATAAATGATCGTCGAACGACGTATAATAATTGACGTTGCACATAGGAAATAGTGCTCAATAGAAATCCGTACATTGTTTATTATCCCTTGTGCTTTTGGTAAAGATGTCAAAGATGAATTGTATTAAATATTTGATCGCCGAAAATTGTTAAATACAAGTCGTTTACATTTGCCAAATGGCAATATGCGCAGGAATATTGTTTCTCGGGAATTTTGATCTAGAAGAGAAACGTGAATATTAAGAATTTATAACAAACCTCCTTGTAAATTTGGAGGATTCTACTGATATAAAGGTAAATATTATTAATCATTATATTCATTGTTTGTTTGGTTAGTGATGAATGTGGTTATTTAATTGTTCTTGATTAAATGTATGCATAATTAAATTCCTTCGAAGTTCCTTTAGTATCATTCCGTTTATTTGTAAACTGGAAGTAAGACCAAAATAGAATTATTGGCCGGAATTCATTAGGTACACACTGTGTATGATCTTCCAATTATGGTAAACTCCTGAGTATTCGAAATTATACGCTAGGTGTCGCTTTTGTACTTTCATTTTCAAATGTAGGGCGTCAATGGATTATACTTCAGAAATTTCAAGTTCGTTTTAAGGATTACAATGTTTATATAGGTTACTTAAGGGATTACATACATATCAATGAAGAGATAAATCAAGCGGAAACAGATTTATTCATGTGACAAAGTAAGTGAAAGTCATGGAAAAATTTTGAAACTAGAATTTGAAGCAATGTCCCCTTTGTTAGGCTTTGACTTTGTGATTTTTAGGGGTTACCTGGAAAATTCATTTGTTTCTGTCAATGGAGGGTTCACTATCCACACTCGTACAAATAGTAAACCCCCATTGACAAACAAGTGCCTGTGGGCAAATAGTACAAACCCTTGTGGTCCAAGACTGATCAACGCACTGTCTATGATATTTTTACTTGGAACTACCGGTTATTAATTTCAAAACTTGGTATGTGGTAGCCCAGACGTTCTGTCAATTACAATAAAATATGGGCAATTTGAAGAAAATAGTGTCAATGTATTATACATGATGATCATGTATGGAGTAACATCATGGACTGGGGACCCCCGGGTGTCATTTTCATTTAGCAAGCTGCAAATGCTGGTCAACCAGTCTTTGACTTTGATCCCTTTAAATTATAGGGGGCCTTTATAATAATAGTAAACCCTTGTCTGATTTGTGTCTTACACATACCTTTTGTACTGTATAACTAAAATTGACTCTGTGTTATCCCTAGACCCTTTAAATTTCAGCACAGTGGGCAGGTGGTCCTACCAAGCTTGACATGGTCCAATATGTTATGCTTGTGGTGCTATAATTTCCAATCAAAAATTGGTATACCAGTTCAGTAAAATTTTATTTGACTTGTCAAATGTCCTTATGGTACAATGAATAAAATTCCAGTTGAAACTTAACCAGCACAATAGGTGTGATTAGGTTACTAAGGTAAATTTGTTGGGATGAGTCTCATATATATATATCAAAGACCAGATACTTTGACCTTGACCCTATCATGGGCTACGATAGTTATTTGTGTTTGGGGCATAACTGTTCTCTTGAGAACTTGGCTGATGGTTAACAGAACTTTAAGTCAAAACTGATATAATGTGCAAATGCATTTTGTGAAAGTGATGTCAATCATGTCAATTAGATGGAAATACTGGAAATTTAAAAGTTTATGTGATCTTTTTATTTATTAGTAAAAGGCAACAGGACATGCATACAATGTATTAAATATAAAATCCATAATTTTAAATTTCTGTTATTTTTTAGTTTAAGATAAAATCACATTTATTAACAGATTAAAACTCATATTTGAGACTGTCATCAAAGATTTGCAATATTTAATCATAAATGCATGCATTAATTTTGGAGAATATATTTCTGTAGACCTATCACAAACCATGTGTGAACCTAATACAGACATGACTGAAGCAAATGCAATGATTAAAAAAAAAACATAACTGAAAGCCAAAAATCTCAAAAGGTTGTTGTCTCAATACTTAATTCCAAAGCAGCAACTTAAATGCATGCACAGGGGTATCATGGGTAATTTAGTCACACTATCCAGTCAGACAGCTCTAGTTATTAATGTAAGCATTAATTATCACAGCATCAATGAACATGGACAAAACTAATGCATTATAAACATATGACATGAAGCTTTTTTTTGCTACATTGTATTTGTCAAAATGAGCAATATACCTATTTTTATTTGTTTTTATTTCAGCTTGATTCCAATCTTTGGCTAATACTAGAAGAGGCAAGGCATACATGTACAATACATGATTCTCTCTAGAAGCTGGATTGACTATTCACCATAATAATTCCATAACAGCATTACAGCAATGAAACTCTACACAACTATGATGTTATAAAGATATTTACATGTATATCTACAGATATGATCAATTTTGAAGATTATTTATGCCAGGTCATGTCGACTAGTCAGACAAATTTTGGTTCAGGTTTCTGACAGGAATTATTATAAACTTGCCAGCAGTTACAACACATGAATATTATTTGTTATTAAGTTTGTCTTTCGGTCTAGCCATTTTTAGAGACTGTTTAACGATACTTTCAGAACTATGATATGTCAGAATCTGTGATATATTATTGCACACTATGAAGTATACCTAGTTATCAGAAATTTTTTGCATGAAGTTATATAAAGATAGTTGGAATTCATGATATTGATGCATTGTGCAGGAACATGAAATATTTTAGTTTGCATTCTTGACAATCCAAGAGCAAGGTTAAATTGGAGAATTATTTATTACCATAATTAAGCAGCAGTATTTCGATTATGGATTCTTTTCAATTTTATTAATATTTACTGAATGCATATTTGTTACTTGTTTAAATATATCTAAGAAATGAAGAAAATAAAAATATTAAAAACAGATGGACAAAATATTTGTATTATTTAAATTTGTTGCAATTTTTGTCTGGCCTTGACAGAGTCAAAAAGAGAGACATAGGCATGCTGTTTTGGCGGCATCAACAATGTATTAGTTTGTGATTTTGTGATTAGGTCTAGTTTATGGTAGGTCAATGATATTTGGTAAGCAGTTGTGTTAGCATAGGCACATCTCATTACCATGGTGATTATTTGACCCCACCCCCTTAGTCATGGTCTATTGACTTTGAAACTTTGCATAGTTTACATGTATAAGTTTGTGATTAGGTCAGTTTAGAGGGAACCATGCGGCCACTATTGGTAGGTCAATGATATTTGGTATGCAGTTGTATAAACTTTGTCATGTCTAATTTCCATTGAGATTATTTGGCCCCGCCCCCTCAATCATGCTCTTTTGACTTGGAAACTTAAGTTACTTTGAAATTTCATTTATTAGTTTTTTGATTAGGTTAGTATTAGGGAAACCAATAGTGGTAGGTCAATGATAATTGGCATGCAGTTGTGGAAGCATTATTACATCTCATTTCCATAGAGAATATTTGGTCCTTACCCCTTAGTCATGGTCTATTGACTTTGAAACTTTTACTTAGTTTACATGTATTAGTTAGTGATTATGTCAGTTTAAGATGAACCAGTAATCTTAAGTCAAAGATATTTGGTATGCGAACGTATTGGTATTTAAAAGTTTCATTTCCATGGAGATTATTTAACCCCACCCCCTCATTATGGGTCATTGACTTTGAAACTTTTACATAGTTTACAAGTGAATTTGTGTTAAGGTTTGTTTAAAGGGAATGACTTATGAAAAGTCAATGGTATTTGGTAAGCAGTTGTATTAGCATTGGCACATCTCATTTCCATGGAGATTGTTCAGCCCTGTACCATCAGTCATGGTTCATTGTCTTTTAATATCACTTACATGTTAAAGTATTTCTATTTTAATTTCAACATTTGCATTATCAAAATAACAAATAGGCAAGACATGTCTCTGTGTTAACAGCTTATTATAAATTAGACAATTATTATGAAAATAAGGAGATGTGGTATGATTGCCAATGAGACAACTATCCACCAAAATTCAAATGAAGTGGATGTAAGCAATTATAGGCAACCGTACAGCCTTCAAAAATATATGTAGCATCATTGCTAGGTCATTATAACAACATCAGCATTTAGTGTAATATAATCTACAAGAAAATTACACACCTTCAGATAGTTTCAGGTATGATTTAATAATTGTGCATAGTGGCACCAGCTGATCCAACTCAAACTGCTAATATGGCATATTAAAAACTCTAGTACATAGTGGAATTAAACCATACACCACTGTTGACACCATTATTCTGATAAGAATATTCCTCCATAAGTTAAATTCAATCCTCAGTGTATGTAGCAGTTTACAGAAGTTAATTACTATAAATCTGTTATGATGATCATACAGCCTGCAACAATGAGCAAAACCTATACTGCATAGTAAGCTATAAACGACCCCAAAATGACAAATGTAAAACAGTAAAACTAGCAGCCTGATTTATGTACAAAACAATTATGGAAAATAAATATGATAACATCAACAATCAACAATCACCAAATTACTGGATCCTCACTATGGACAGGTACATACAGAATGTGGTGGGTTAAACATGTTAGCTCGCACAAATCCCTCCCCTAACATGGGACAGTATATGTGCATAATCTCAGACATTGAATCTTTAAAAAATAAAATTGAAAATAAATTTTGAAAATAGTAGGATTGGATAGTGGAAACATTACGGTACAAACATTATTTGATACTTGAGAAATAGCTGAGATAAATAATTACACAAATTCTTCCACAATATTCATCTTAACTTCTGCCACGTTTGCCTTGGGTTTTTTAATTACCTGCCTATAGCGCCCTTGGTACTTTGATTTTTTTTTTATAAAACTCAGTTTTGAAATTCATATCTTATTTAGAGGCTATTACCTGAATTGAATAGAAAATGTAGAAAAGTTGACTCACTTAAGGAATGTGCCAGCACATGTTACTATTCCGTGTTAACAAAAAATGTAACAATACTTTTATCATCTTTATTCATATATTTTAATCTTCTCATGCATACCTGATGTGATGATTAATTGAATTATCAATCCTGCTCAAAATTCTGATTGGCAAGTTACATTCATACTTCTAAGTTTTATTGAGTAATTTTTCTATTAACGATTGATGTATTAATTGGCTCTATTTATAACTTATCCTCTATTTTGTAAAACCTGTATAGCAAATAATCAACATGACAGACAGCATGTATAAAAGATCAAAAAAAGAAAAAAAAATGTTTCTGATTGTATAATACATGCCCTACATAAAGTTTGATATTTGAACTGACCTCCTAAATCTTAATGATTCAGTGACTAATACAAGGAGATTTATTGTATTTGCATTGTATCTTACAGAACAAATGAAAGCTACAAGAAAATCCCTGAAAAGTCATTTTATGAATAAAGAGAGATAACTCATATTTTATTTCCTTTCTCTTGTTTTACCATAAAGATATTTTAATTATATAGCATTCTGCATTGCAACAATTGCTGTAAAAGTACTTTAAATATCATAACATCAGAAAACTTTGACTAAGACACCTATTATAGTGCTATTTGTATAGAATAATCCATTAAAGTGAAATATCAGTCATGTAATTATCAACGTTTTGGTTTTCACCCCTCCTTTCCATTTTCCCCACTCGTCAAAAACAACCCACATTCAGGAATTGTACTCAATAGTATGTTTTTTATTTCTGGAGAATGATAATTCTAAAAATTTACAAAGTCATGATTCAGTGATAACAGTATTTATATATATAGTATAAGTGGATTTCATCTTTTGTGAGTAAATAATGTTTTGTCTAAAGGTTTGGAGATTTACAATATACTTTGTATTATTTTAAATTGGGATATTTTTATTTTTAGAATTTTTGGATAAAATAAATTTTTGTTACTATGGATATTGAATTTGTAGAGCTATGTCATCGGCAATGTTAGGGTATTGGATATAAGGCACTTTCCTAAACTAGGCTAAAACTACGTCTGAGATGTTTTAAAGTTTGTTTAAATAATGCAATGGTTTTAGGAGTTTAGGACAGATGTCTGTTTTATCCATACACACACTTTGATCTCTGAAGTACTGGAATGATACTAGGAAATATGTCAATTTTATCAAAAAGCTAACTAATCTCTAACAAACCATCATGAATGGATAATGTAAGAAAAATTCTTTGCTTTAACCCTATATTAGTTGGCAATTAGGATCAGTTTTGTCATTCTGAATTCAAATATGATAAGATTGCTTCACCCCAAAAACATGCACACTGCAATAATCATAAAATGATCAATTAGATTAAATAGTGTGATGGAAATTACTGTATGTAGTTTTAATTACCAAGTTATTTCCCTTTAATAGGATACATAGATTCTCAGGAATTGTTTGATGGAAAACACACATCTGAGTTGATCAGATTTGGTAGGAAACTAATGTACACACTTCACCACTAATTATCTCCCTTACCTATGTAAAAGCTTCCCCACTTGCTGATTTGTTTTCACAGGAGAAGGAGAACTGAGCATGTTTAATTTATCCTGTAATATGCTTTTTGAAAGGTCATGTATTGATTCAATAGACATTTCTATGCTTATTTCATTTTAATATAGAGATACTGTATACAGAGAAACCTTAATTCATCTGGTATTATACAACACATTCTGTACCAATAACTTTTGCCAGGGCATCCCATTTCAATTTGATTTCTGTTCTGCTTTTCTGAATACATGTAAATTCTTTTTTTTTTTTTTTTTTTTTTTTTTTTTATAAAGTTTTAAAAAAATTAGATTTGAAGTATTTCAATTTGTCCAAGAATAAAAATTATTAGTGTTTATTAAAGCTGTATAAATGTTTTATCTCAGATTTTATTAAGCAATATCACGATTTATTACCTGCTTTTCATTCACTAAACAGACTTTTCACCCAAATAACATATCAAACATTTCTGGTTAAACACGAATCGGAAATTGGTCTATTGTCTAAAAGTTAAACCTGGATATTTATTTGTTCGCAATGTAAATATTTTTAAGCTTTCACAATTATCAGTATGGAATGCATTATGGGTGTTAATCTGCTACCTTTCATTTTTTCTCCTAAGCATTTAGAGGAAACATAAATGAAATCAAAAATGTGTGAATATTTCTTAGTTTACAGTAGTAAAAATAGTAAAATATAAGAAATAAAGCAATTTATTATTAGGAAAATTTAGCTTATAATGATATATATTTTGTAAAAGGTGATCATATTATAGGATAATATTTAGCATGGTCAGGTCATAAGCTATTAATGATACATAGAGGTATTACCCTGTACATATAAATTGAAAGGTAGAAAGTTCATGTGAGAATGTGGTGTGATATGGAATTATGGGAAGATGTAAGGAATATGGTAATAGTTTCATTAATATTTCTGGTAATGGTAACCATGTAATTTGTAGAATATAATACCAGTCCATCATGTTTTATATTCAGTGAGTGCAACAGTTGATTTTGGCTACATAGTGATACTTGGTCAAAAACTCATCACAACTTATGTTTAAATGTTTGTCAATATGCCGAATCAAAATAAAGTTTTACTTACTTATACCATAATGTGATACAATATTTAATCTTAAACTGAATTTAAAATCCCAACAGTTGTTTTTTAGGCATACCCAAATTTAGTATTTATGCAGTGTAGCTTACAAAAATATTTTTTATGTTTCAACAAAATATGTATATATATAGAATTAATGCCTCTGCTGCCATCAAGTAAAATGTGGACAATGGTCATAAATCATTTGAAAGTAGGTCATCCTAAATGTAACACTATCTCAGTCTGTGATTCATTATTATGTAAGCATGTTGACACACATTTAAAGTAACACTAGATAAAAGATATAATTCATCAAGACATAGGATACAGAATTAAACATTCATCTTAAGTACATAGTGCTGAATTGATCAAGTATGCTGGTTTTATGCCAGTGCTGTTCTTGCATATATTTTGAATGAACTCCAGTTTTAATTTTAAGATTTTTGAAAGGCATTTCTATGCTTTAATGCCTTTTTGCAGTCTTCTGTTTGTGTGTGTGATTTGCCTGTAGACTAGTCTATAAGTCACTGTAGATTTAGTCAGTGTTGTTGTCATTCCTATACAAATTTATTGCATTTCAGTATTGACAATAAGTGAAAATTGTAAATGCTTAAAATTCATTTCTTTATTTCCATGACATTTGTAAATATATATTTGAGCAGCAATTTTTTTTTAACGTAATGTTATTCAAGCTTCTTTTTCTATTATTTTTTTTTCTTATAAATTATATACACATGTATGTAATTTTCATTTGCATATTTACATTTTTTAATTGTACCAGATGAAATGGACCATATTAAAGTTTTGTTTTATATAAGTTGCAAAATAAGATAAGCACTGATGTTTATGATATACTAAAACTTTAAATTGAATTTTCAGGAAATGATAGAATGTGTTGTGATGAAAAATATATATTTGTGACACAACTTTTTAATTTGAACTTTTTGCTCAATGGGCTGTTTTTCCTTAAAATATTTAGACATGGTAACAAATAGTGTTGATTGGGTAAATACTTTTTCTTCATGAAATTTACATGTAGAACAGATATAAATACTTTGAGGATTGTCAGTCATTTATTAACCTTATCAACAGTGTTTTTTTAGAATTTCTGAGAATTAAAGAAGAAAAGAATTGGAAATTTGAAAAATTTAATGAAATATTGTAAAATAATTTTAAATAAAACTAATTGCAATTCCAAAATTAGGATAACTTGCTTTATTTTTGGAGCTTTAAGAGAGGTAAGACAGACATCTTCTGGCTTTTATATATGCAAAGTTTTTTAGTCTTTTTTTTTCATACTACTTTTAAGTGCAAAAACTGCATTGATAAGGTCAACAGTGAAAATTGCTTTTAACATGAAATAAATTGAGTGATAATGAATTGGAACAATTTCGAACAGTCAATTTCATCTAAGGAAATACTTCTAGAGAAATCCTGAAAATACAACAGTATTTATATAAATCATGCATCATATGACACAATTGATTACTACATGAATAAACAAGTAAATATTAAATAGAAAGTTATGTACTGGTATTAAATATTTGCACTAGTTCTGAGATCAGAAGACAGATGAATGACTTAACATAACTGAATCACACATTTATAATTTGAATGACTTCTATTTCATATATTTTGATTATCTGCCACCAATGTATGTTTGCATATGTAGAAAGCCAGGAGTGTAAATTATAGTTTCTAGATTTTTTTGTTTTATATCTCTCTAATATAATAACAATATGTATTTCTGCAAACCTTTTTAGGAGGAAATGATCCTAAGACTGAAGTCTGGTTTTTAGACAGATCATTGAGGTGGCACTTCCTTGCAGAATCATTCATGGCATACTTCAGGTTGATGTTGATGCATTTAGGACTTCCTCAGTGGCAGTATGGAATTACTGACATTGGACTTAGTCAACAAGCTCAGGTTAGTCATATATATATATATATCTTCTGTAAGTCACAATAAAGTATAATGTGTGTTGTCCTTATCATCCAGTTTTAGATCAAGATGCAAAGATACTCATCATAGTTTATTGGTTATATATTGATATAAAACTAAGGAGATTTGGCATGATTGCCAATGAGACAAATCTCCACCAGAGAACAAATGATATTGGATTTATTACTCAATTACATTAAAGGTAAACTTTGCAAAAAAATGAAAAATTGATATTATGTTCATTATGCTATTTTCCTGAGGTTTTAAGACAACCGCAGCATACCTCCGGGTATCCATCCTGATTACTCTCTACCAGCCTGTACCGTTAGAAGATGTTGGTTCACTCGATGCGACCTTATGTTCATTATGTATAAAAAAGCACAAAGTCATAAATATTAAAGTTTTATTCTGCTAGATAAGAGATCACCATCGATTTAAAATTGAGAGTATCAATTCTCTGCATGCGGCCATCTTGTCATCTTTCCGGTTTACTAAACCACTTGCTATCTATAAACCACAAAGGACCAAAACCAGCAGTAACCTAACGTAGTCGTAATTGAGTGTCAACATCTTGTCAAGTGTACGGTTGTTTTATTCGACAAGGAAAGCATAAACAGTTAACCGGGTCACAAAAATGATTATAATAGACATGGTTGTGCAACCTTTCCTAACTAACTTGATACAGAAAATGTAATTATTTTTTTTTTTAAATAACTATGGTCTGTAGTTTTTGAAACAAGAAATTTAAATGGGAATAAGTTAAAAAGTCAAAGTTAAAATAAAAAAATAAGTGTTCCATGTAATATTGTTTTCGAAAATCTAATTTGTTCATAATTCTTTTAGTAAATTAACTTATCTAAATAAATTCGGACCTTCCCTTATCTGATCACCAGCATGGCTAAAGGAATTATTCCCAGAGGTATTGTGAGGTGACACATCCAGGTATTCAAGCGATTTCCTGTCGGGCTAAAAAATTCTTATTACACAATTACATAATGCAAGTTCATGCATCGCTTCACTTCTGAGGGTATTGATCAGTGTACACGGCCGATAACTTGTAACTTTCCATTTTAGAACTATCAGGTGTAAAATACATCTTTGTCTTGCTTGTCCGACAGTGATATACTATAGTTATTACTAAACTCATACGCTTGTTTACAAATAACATTTCTGGTGTAAAAAATGATATTTATGAAATACTAAATAATTCCAAAAAAAGATTTGATAAAATAAAAATCAATTTTACATATTTTCCAAATGTAAATTGGGGAAAATGTAAGTATATACTCGTTGTCAATAATTATGGACATTTTGAAGCATAAAAATATTGATTGAACAAAAATGTACGCACTTGTCGATCATTGGTTTATACTTTTTTTAATAAAAAGATTTATATTGGAGGTCAAGTCTATCGAAAGTTACAAAATAAGAACGTTGCATTTATGAATTTACAAGAAGAATTCTGTTCTTGGACGTAGTTTTCTTTTTTTTTAGTTCAGAGATTTAAATTGAGAGAAAAAATCTAGTCAGAATTTAAATTGTTCTGGCAATCCCCACCTAAGACTCCTCCTCTAAAATCATGAATGGTCATGCTTCACAATCATCAGAATTTTCTTTGCATTGGTACATTCTGTATCGGTAATGATTAAGGTATAACAGAGCTACTTGTATATTACCTGTATGTGGTTAGGTGACGTCCCATGAGGTCTTACGTATACAGGTTCACATTATTAATGGTTTCTGATTTCTGGTTGGATGTCAAGTATATCGAAAGATTCAAAATAAGAACGTTGTATTTATGAATTTACAAGAAGAATTCTGTTCTTGGACGTAGTTTTCTGTTTTTTCAGTTCAGTGATTTAAATTGAGAGAAAAATCTAGTCAGAATTTAGATCGTTCCGGCAATCCCCCGCCTGAGACTCCTCTAAGATCATGAATGGTCATGCTTCACAATCTGACAGCAGAATTTTCTTTGCATTGGTACAGTCTGTATCGGTAGTGATTAAGGTATAACAGAGCTACTTGTATATTACCTGTATGTGGTTAGGTGACGTCCCATGAGGTCTTACGTATACAGGTTCACATTTAGAATGGTTTCTGATATAACAACTTGTCAAGGTTTTATGACATTCCCACTTCTGCATGTTCTGTATACCAAATTCTTATCTTATTTTCAGACCGAAAGAGAATGTGAATATTTTCCAGGAAAAAAATTGAGTATCAAATCAATTTCGGGATTTTTTTCTTTCTTGGTATTAAATCACAGAAATTCAAAGAATATACTGCAGCAGTGCTTGTCGGCTTTAGGAGTATTCTTGTCATTTTAGACAGACATATATATGTGTATATATGTCTCTGGTTTAGAGTGGGTTTATGAATGAATGATAAGTCTTGCAAAGGTAGAAGATATAAAGCACATTGAAAATTTATTCCGCCGGTCTGTCTCCATTCAAAAAAGGAAAGTTGACGTTATATTGATTCTGTTAATTTTTTTTAAACATCGTTGGTCAAATAGCTAAAGTATTTGTCCATTGTGAGATTTAAAATGTTTTAATAAGGGCATTCCCCATTAGGTAAATGTAAATCGCTTTGGACGGACCAAACTATATTAAATTAACTGATATAATTTTCACTGCACATTTAAATATTCAAGGTTACTGATGATAATTTAAAATAGTATAGTTTTTGGTTTATACGCTCGTTTTCGTGGGCCATTTTTATTTATAGAATTATTTAATTGAATGTAATTCAGAATTTCGATGTTACAACAAAATAATCACCTATTTATTTAAAAACTGAGCTAACGCAAAATATTAAAAAAATATATAACGGCGTTTCGGGTATTTTGCAACCATATTCCTCCCCAAATAATTATTTTTTTTCTGTCTCAAAACCCTCACACTTCTCTTTTATCATTTTTTTTTTTATGTTTTTCACACCTGAAACGGTGAACCCTTGAGGCCAAACAACACTCTAGTGAAGATCAAAAGATGAAAATTACATAATGCAAATCTTTTAATTATCGTGAATTTAACCACGCCTTTACCAGGTAGTGTCAGTATAATACACATTGTATTTACACAGTACTAGCAGGAAATGTTTGCTAGACTGAAGCAAGGATTTGTATAGTAAGACAAATCCTTGACTGAAGTAAAAGGTGAGAATACAAACATGCATTTTTATTACACTATCAGTTATAAATGTTTTTTCAACATATCTGTCAGGAAAAAAATTCATAAAAATATTCTATTGTATGATTTACTTTTAATACAATAATCATACCTGAAATCCCTAAAATATAAATCGTACATTTTGATTTAAAAAGTTGCACGGCTGATCATTTTACTCACTTAATTATTAGTTGGTTAATAGATACGCAAAATAGTCGTAGATGCGATTTAAATCGCGTTATTATATGATTAACGAACAAAATTTAATACGAGATTAAGTCCACTCCCGGCATGCAATTAGACTTAAACTACGTCACAGATCTGAGGAAGTTCGAATAAATAAAATTAATAATTCCTAATTTTCTTCTTTATTAGTGTTCATATCCAGATAAAACTTGGTGAATATGTTTTTTATGGTATTATGAACATAATAAGATGATGAGTAAAAATTCGTGAATTTTCCCTTTAAGGAGATTTGGTTTGATTGCCAATGAGACAACTACCCATAAAGACCAAAGGACAAAGATGTCTACAATCGTAATGATAGGTCACTGTATGGTCTTCAACAATGAGCAAAACCCATAGCATATAGAAGAAAACAAAAGAAATGGGATTGTGCTATGTATGGATTTCACACTCTTAAATTTTTCTATATACTGCTGGTATCTTTATCCCTTCCTAAATGAAGGCATTTGAACTGTTTTATTTTGAACCAGTTTGATAAGAGCTTTTACAGTAATTTTGATTGACCATGGTCTATCTTTCAATTAAGGCTGAAAATTTATACTTTTAAAACAAATTTATTAGAATCATTGTCTTAAGCATGTAAAATTTTATTTATTGATTGATTAATGAATCAATGAAAATTTATGTGTAAATCATTTGAGGAGAGGGTAAACTACATCTTGATTAAACTAAAAAATGGATACCGATGCAGCAATTTGTAGGATTAATGCCTTAAGATTTTTACTAAAATTGTCATGTAATGAGTAGATTCTATCAAAGAAGTGGCTAGAAAACTGGTATGATAAAAGGAGATGTGATTAACGTGAAAATACTTAGCTGACAACATTCTAAACACATATTAAAACCAAAAAGTCATTTCAAGATGAATATACAATCGCCAATGAAAAACTAAAGTCCATCCCATATATAAAAATAAGATGTGGTATGATTGCCAAGGAGACAGCTCTCCACCACAGTTCAAATGAAGTAGATGTAAGCAATTATAGGCCACCATACAGCCTTCAACAATGAGAAAAACCCATACTGTATAGTCAGCTATAAATGGCCCGACATGAAAAATGTGAAACAATTCAATTGAGAAAACTAACACAGTTATTCATACAAGAAAACAATTTGGCAAATTTGTAACAAAACAAATATGACAGATATGAACCAATGACAACCACTGAACTACAGGCTCCTGACTTGGGACAAGCACATAAAGAATGTGGCAGGGTTAATCATGTTTGTGAGTGCTCAACCCTCCCTTAACCTGGGACATATATCAAGTGCATTAAACAGAGATTGCTAAAATATATCAATGCCAAATTCCTTGATGGACAAAGTCTAAGATATACATACATATTAACATGAGAGGAAAAATTTGGAAATGAGAGAGTCTGAATGATTTGTAAGAGCTTTTGGTTCCACGTGTATTTTAGCATTGTGGAATAAGTTATCACATAGCATCTCTTAACAATTTTAACATCAAATAAAGAGTAAGTTGAAGAATCTTATTAATTTTTCTTGTAACATCACTTTGGTTTTTCAGCAATGGTTTAATATTTATGCACCTACAAGACTGGAACTTGACAGAGAATTGTTGATGGGTAATGGATCTGAGGGACAGAATAAAATGCCTACCCTTAATCTAGATGTTAATAAAGTCTTCAACAAAGGAAAAACGGATAAAAAGTAAGTTATTTAAAAGATCAGGGGTTTTTATATGCACATAAAAATTGTCAGTGTATGGTAATGGGTGTGATTATTTTATCATATAACAATTTAGTATTTTTATATATGTATAAATAATTACAATTTCAATAGAATTGTGATAGAATAGAGTGGGGAGGGAAAGAAACAAAGTGCATTAAAAATCATTTGTCAAAGGACAGATAACATAATGGCCAAAAGAAAACAGAAAAAAAATGATAAAAAAAAAATAATAATTCATCAAAGATAACAGAAAACTTAAAATTAAGCAACATGATTTTCATTAAAAAAAGAGATGATCTTAGCAGAAAGTCAAATATGAAAAATGACAGAAAATTAAATATTTATAGCAACATGAATTCCATTAAAAATTGGGATGATCTTAGTAGAAAGTCAAATGAAAAAATACAACATAAAGTTGACTTTTAAAAAAAGATAATTGTCAGTAATTATTTAAGAATAAAATATTCTATAAGACAGCTTTCTTTAGAGATGAGACTTAAACCTTCTTTCTGGTAAGCAGCATTTACGCAATTTATATATATGTCAACCAAATTGAGCTATCTGATAAATATTTTAAAGAATAGGGTACAGTTAATTTTTATCTGTATTTCAATATTCATATTTCATTTAAGATGAAAGAAAATTTTATTGCAATGTATACAATAAAGTTAGTTGTGAGACAGAATGAAAATTCATTTAATACCCTAAATTTCATACTTGTGTTTTCACTTTTCAATTATAATTTTATTGCCTTAACTAGTTAAAAAAAATCCATTTGACAATTATTTTCTACAAAAAAATGTGCACAATCTTGATATATTTTGAATGAATTTTGCAGAAAGCTTCCTGCACAAACTTCTCAGAACCAGGCAAGCTTCAATAAAAAGAAACCAATAGTTTCTTCTGCAAAGTGAGTAAAACTTATTTCAACAGACCAATTAATGTATAACCAGCAACTTCTAAACTCTACTGAACATATAAATCCTTTTTGGTGATGTCAACAACTTGTCCATAGATTTCTGTAGTAAGGTTTTTGCTGCCCAATTTTCGGTGTAGCTTTTTTAGCTCACCTGGCCGAAAGGGCCAAGTGAGCTTTTCTCATCACTTGGCATCCGTCGTCCGTCGTCGTCGTCCGTCGTCGTTAACTTTTACAAAAATCTTCTCCTCTGAAACTACTTGGCCAAATTAAACCAAACTTGGCCACAATCATCATTGGGGTATCTAGTTTAAAAAATGTGTCCGGTGACCCGGCCAACCAACCAAGATGGCCATCATGGCTAAAAATAGAACATAGGGGTAAAATGTTTTCAGATGAATCTGACAACCCGTTGTTGAGTTGCTGCCCTGAATTGGTAATTTTAAGGAAATTTTGCCGTTTTTGGTTATTATCTTGAAATTTATTATAGATAGAGATAAACTGTAGACAGCAATAATGTTCAGCAAAGTAAGATCTACAATTAAGTCCACTTGACCAAAATGGTCAGTTGACCCCTTAAGGAGTTATTGCCCTTTATAGTCAATTTTTAACCATTTTTCGTAAATTTTTGTAATCTTTTACAAAAATCTTCTCCTCTGAAACTACTAAGACAAATTTAACCAAACTTGTCCACAATCATCATTAGGGTATCTAGTTTAAAAAATGTGTCCGATGACCCCGCCCGCAAACCAAGATGGCCGACATGGCTAAAAAATAGTACATAGGGTAAAATGCAGTTTTTGGCTCATATCTCTGTAACAAAGCATTTAGAGCAAATCTGACAGGGGTAAAATTGTTTATCAGGTCAAGATCTATCTGCCCTGAAATTTTCAGACCAATCAGGCAACACGTTGTTGGGTTGCTGCCCCTGAATTGGTAATTTTAAGGAAATTTTCCGTTTTTGGTTATTATCTTGAATATTATTATAGATAGAGATAAAATGTAAACAGCAATAATGTTCAGCAAAGTAAGATCTACAATCAAGTCAACTTGACCAAAATGGTCAGTTGACCCCTTAAGGAGTTATTGCCCTTTAGAGTCAATTTTTAACCATTTTTCGTAAATTTTGTAATCTTTTACAAAAATCTTCTCCTCTGAAACTACTAAGACAAATTTAACCAAACTCGTCCACAATCATCATTAGGGTATCTAGTTTAAAAAATGTGTCCGAAGACCCGCCCGCGAACCAAGATGGCCGACATGGCTAAAAATAGTACATAGGGTAAAATGCAGTTTTTGGCTCATATCTCTGAAACAGGATCAAATTGTTCATTAGGTCAAGATCTATCTGCCCTGAAATTTTCAGACCAATCAGGCAACAGGTTGTTGGGTTGCTGCCCCTGAATTGGTAATTTTGCAGCTTTTGGGTTATTATCTTGAATATTATTATAGATAGAGATAAACTGTAAACAGCAATAATGTACAGCAAAGTAAGATCTACAAATAAGTCAACATGACCAAAATTGTCAATTGGCCCCTTAAGGAGTTATTGCCCTTTATAGTCAATTTTTTTACAATTTTCATAAATTTTGTAAATTTTTGTAAATTTTTACAAAATATTTTCCACTGTAACTACTGGGCCAAGTTCATTATAGATAGAGATAATTGTAAGCAGCAAGAATGTTCAGTAAAGTAAGATCTACAAACACATCACCATCACCAAAACTCAATTTTGTCATGAATCCATCTGTGTCCTTTGTTTAATATGCACATACATGTATACCAAGGTGAGCGACACAGGCTCTTTAGAGCCTCTAGTTTTTGTTTTTTATCTTTTTCTTTTTGCCATGATCTTTCTTCTAGTGATAATTTTTCATGGCCTCGTTGTCTTTGTATTTTAAAAAATATAATGAAAGAAATAAAAAAGCATTCGAATAAAGTTTTTAAGGAAAACATGCCTTAAAAGAACATTGAAAACCATCTAAGATTATTATCTTTGTCTTTTTAATGTATTTAGTGTTAAGATAAGATTTTAATGCTCTACAGTAAAATGCATGACCATGTTCTCTTTTAAAGAATCAATAGAAATAAGAAGATGTGGTATGAGTGCCAATGAGACAACTCTCCATCCATGTCACAATGTGTAAAAAGTAAACAATTATTCTGTTGTTATTTATGTATTATTGTCATTTTGTTTATTTTCTTTGGTTACATCTTCTGACATCAGACTCGGACTTCTCTTGAACTGAATTTTAATGTGCGTATTGTTATGCGTTTACTTTTCTACATTGGCTTGAGGTATAGGGGGAGGGTTGAGATCTCATAAACATGTTTAACCCCGCCGCATTTTTGCGCCTGTCCCAAGTCAGGAGCCTCTAGCCTTTGTTAGTCTTGTATTATTTTTAATTTTAGTTTCTTGTGTACAATTTGGAGTTTAGTATGGCGTTCATTATCACTGAACTAGTATATATATTTGTTTAGGGGCCAGCTGAAGGACGCCTCCGGGTGCGGGAATTTCTCGCTGCATTGAAGACCTGTTGGTGGCCTTCTGCTGTTGTCTGTTCTGTGGTCGGGTTGTTGTCTCTTTGACACATTCCCCATTTCCATTCTCAATTTTATAGGTCAAAGTACAGCCTTCAACACGGAGCCTTGGCTCACACCGAAAGCAAGCTACAAAGGGTCCCAAAATGACTAGTGTAAAACAATTCAAACAGGAAAACCAACGGTCTAAAATATAAGAAAAACGAGAAACACTTAAGAACCACATCAACATACGACAGCTTCCTGACTTAGGACTGGTGTAAAAGAAATGCATTGGTTTTAAACGTTTTAACAGTCGCCAACCTTCACCCTAACCTGAAAAAGTAGTGTAACATTAAAACATAGAAAGACACATTATAAAATATCAATTGAAATGGCTTAACTCAATCAAAAAGACATATTAACAAAAACAAGTAAACATACACTGAACGATTTAATTTGATCTATGACACAATATAAATACATTATTAAATAAAAAAAGGGGGGAAGTAAAACACTGTCAAAAAGACAACTAAAACCTGGGACAAAATGGCGTTAAATAAAATAAGGTACACAATAATTTTGTTGTTAGGAGTACAGAGATATTTTTTACAAAATAAATAAATTTGTTGTTCATAGTACTAGAACAGCAATGAAAATTAATCGTCATACTAAATACTTATCAAAGATGGTACATATTAAAAATAGTGAGACGAGATATAACACAAAATAAGTAAACATTGATCAACAAAAATGCATTACAAATTGTGTCAACAGGTCAAATTGACACGAAAGTACGATTTGAGAGTACTCGCAGTTACTGAAAGCTAGTTAAAAGCCAAAAACAATTAAAGGCCTTACTTTGACCTATAGTGGTTTACTTTTACAAATTGTAACTTGGATGGGGAGTTGTCTCATTGGCACTCATACCACATCTTCTTATATCTAATTGATAATAAAAAATCATGTATCAGACACTAAAATCAACTAAAACACATCCCAGGGATTTAGTCTTTTAACGCCATGGACAGTCAAAGAAGACATGACTTGTGCAATGCCAAAATAAAAGGATCGACAGGCAGTAGGATAGTTCGGATTTAACCTTATAATAAATATGTATAATGTTATATATAGATAAAGCAATCTCTATATACGATGTGTATTTAAACATAAAAAAAAAAAAACATTTGAAAAGAATACAAATTTAGTTATGTTTTAATTTGTTGATGACAAAATCGATATTTGTGCCAATGTAAACAATATTCAAAGATCTTATTACAACATTAATAAGATAACCTTTACATTAAGTTTGTTTAAAGGTTGGATGAGTTTACACGGATCACATAGTGATTTCCACACTTTTAGTACAATATTAACGCAAAATTTAGGATCTGAAATACCATTTTTAATAAGTTTTCTACAAGTACAGTCAAATTTACTAATCAAATCTTTGTATCTATGAAAGAATTTTGTAAAAGTTTTAAGTATTTTATGGTAACGAAATCCCTGACTTAATAATTTACCAGCTATGCATTGATTATGTTCGTTAAAATCTATGACATCACTACACACACGGGCATAACGAACAAGTTGGGATATATAAACACTGTATGATGGAGCTAAAGGAACATCGCCGTCTGAAAAAGGAAAATTAACAATAGGGAATGAAAAATCGTCTCTTTTGTCATAAATTTTAGTATGGAGTTTCCCTTTAGAAATTGAAATGTCTAAATCTAGAAAAGGACAACTACTGCTGTTAATGTTAGATTTATTTAAAGTAAGTTCCTTTGGGTAAATTTCGGTAGTATATTTAGAGAAGTCTGGATTATTTAACGAAAATATATCTTCAAAATAACGGTAGGTATTGTTGAATGTGTCAACCAAATGTAACAATGACGTGTCTTTACTGAGTTTGGTCATAAACTGAGATTCATAGCAATACAGGAATTAATCTTCTATTAAAGGGAAGAACCTACTTCCTGTCGATACACTTTATCACCGAAACGTACATATATGTTATGTTGTCCTGTAGAAAATTTAAAGCCTCAATCATATCTTCACATTTCCAGTAGTGTATCTAGCATACTTTCCTTTTTCTTTACAGAAAAAGGCTTTAAACGAGATTTTTCAAAAGACCATTTAATTAAATATGAAAACTTTTTCTTGATAAGATTGTGTGGAAGTGTAGTGCAGAGAGTAGAAAAATGTTCATAAGCTTTATAACAAAATTTAATAACATGTACTGAACTAGTACACATTTTTATTTAGGGGCCAGCTGAGGCCCACCTCTGGGTGGGGTATTTTCTCGCTGCGTTGAAGACTCATTGGTGGCCTTCGACTGTTATCTGCTCTTTGGTCGGGTTGTTGTCTATTTGACATATTCCCCATTTCCATTATCAATTTTATCTTTGATAGTAGTAAGGGAGGTAGTTAAGAAGCACTGACAGATTAGTAGTAGAACACTTACTAGATGCAGAGATGAAACAAAATTTAAATGGTTGTTTGTGTAATTTAGGTAATGTTTGTTTTTAAATTGTTCTTTATATGTCAGGTCCTTGTGCTTACTTGCATTCTTAAATTAAAGCACAAACTAATGTTTTATCATTTAAATATCCTGAATCTGAGCCAAAAACAATATTAAAAAAATCACAGTTTATTGAAGGTGAATATGACTAGAAGTCTCTGTAGCTGATCATCATCTATATGAACATACTACTTTTAAGCTATAAACCAATTGGCTTTGAACTAGCTGTCCGTAACTTCGAGTACTCTCAGATCTGTACATAGTGTCTTTTTGTTATTTGGATGTACAAGTACCCGTCCAAGTCCACTCCGTGTTTTTGTTAGATGTATTTCTATTTGTATCCATCTGATGAGTTTTAAAAGCCTTTTTCAACTGATTTTTATATTTTTGCGGTCGTATATTGGTATGACGTTGGCGTCGTCGTCGTCCAAAGACACATTGGTTTTGGCACAATAACTTTAGTTTAAGTGAATGGATCTCTTTGAAATTTTACCATAAGGTTCAATACCACAAAAGGAAGGTTGGGATTGATTTAGGGGGTTATGGTACCAAGAGTTAAGGAATTAGGGGCCAAAAATAAGCATTTTTGTTACTTCCAGACAATAACTTGTGTTTAAGTGAGTGGATCTCTCTGAAATTATACCACAAGTTTCCATACCACAAAGGGAGGGTTAGGATTGGCTTTGGGGGGGTTATGGCTCAAACCCTTTAGGAATTAGGGGCAAAAAAGGGGAAAATTTTTTTTTTAATTTCAGATTTCAGAAATTAAAAAGAAATTTTCTTCAAATAATTTTTTTTTTTGCAAAAAAAAGGGGGGGGGGGGTCAATACACAACAGCATAGTGTATTTCACAAAAGCAAAAATAAGGGGGGTAATTTTTTTTGTTTTTGTTGGGTGTGTGTGGTGGGGGGGGGGGGGGGGGGGCGTTTCGCAACAGCATAGTGTATTGCACAAAAGCAAAAAATTGAATATAAATTCAAATCATATAACCAATTCTAAGTTCTTTGACTACAGTTATTCAGTGTCAGAAACCTATTATGTGTCAAATATTTAATTTCAATCCAAATTCAGACCTGTATCAAGGGGGAATATTGTGTCCATTTTCGCCCCAACTGTTCAGGGTTGGACCTCTGCCGTCGTATCCAGCTGCGCTCAGCGAAGCATTTTATTATAGTTTGTTCTTATGTTGTACTGTTACACCATTGTCCCAGGTTAGGGGAGGGTTGGCGTCTTCAAACTAGTTTAACCCCGCCACATTCTGTATGTGCCTGTCCCAAGTCAGGAGCCTGTAATTCAGTGGTTGTTGTTTGTTGCTGTGTTACATATTTGTTTTTCCTTCATTATTTTGTACATAAATTTAGCCATTAGTTTTCTAGTTTGAATTGTTTTACATTTGTCATTTCGGGGCCTTTTATAGCTGAATATGCGGTAATAGCTTTGCTCATTGTTGAAGGCCGTACAGTGACCTATAGTTGTTAATTTCTGTGTCATTTGGTCTCTTATGGAGAGTTGTCTCATTGGCAATCATACCACATCTTCTTTTTTATATCAATGATGAATCCTTATTATATACTTATTTATCCATAAAAAGCATTATACGAATTTGAATGTATTTTCAAAAATATAGTCAAACTTCATATTGGACTGCTAAACATTGATATATATGAGGTTGATAGTGTAAAATAGAGCAGAAACATCATATAAAGTTTTCATAAAAAAAATTCCAAATAAAAAGTATACAAGCTGAGAGAGGCTGCCAAAAACAAATGGTAGGTGTGTAATTAGAGATAAAAGGTCAATAATGGCCCTATAACTGTGAAATTTAACTTCAGTAACAATAGTAAACATTGGATGACAAAATGTGAAAAAATATTGTGTAACAAATACAATTCAAAAAGTTCTGACTCATCAGAACACTTATGATGTCATCATAATTGTGCACTCTTATAATGAAAATCATCATTTTGACTAACTTTTTGGCTTATTTTGTAATTTGGCCACATAAATATTTGTTAGGATGTGTATCTGATCTATTCATTTTTGTTGAGCCTGCGACTTTTGTCGCAGAAAGCTCGACATAGGGATAGTGATCCGGCGGCGGCGTTAGCTAACTTCTTAAAAGCTTTATATTTTAGAAGCTAGAAGACCTGGATGCTTCATACTTTGTATATGGATGCCTCATGTTACGAAGTTTCCGTCAGTCACATGTCCAATGTCCTTGACCTCATTTTCATGGTTCAGTGACTACTTGAAAAAAAAGTTAAGATTTTTTTTCTCTCTTATTATAAGTAATAGGATAACTATATTTGGTATGTGTGTACCTTGCAAGGTCCTCGTGCCCGTCAGATAGTTTTCACTTGACCTCGACCTCATTTCATGGATCAGTGAACAAGGTTAAGTTTTGGTGGTCAAGTCCATATCTCAGATACTATAAGCAATAGGTCTAGTATATTCGGTGTATGGAAGGACTGTAAGGTGTACATGTCCAACTGGCAGGTGTCATCTGACCTTGACCTCATTTTCATGGTTCAGTGGTTATAGTTAAGTTTTTGTGTTTTGGTCCGTTTTTCTTATACTGTATGCAATAGGTCTACTATATTTGGTGTATGGAATGATTGTAAGGTGTACATGTCTAGCTGGCAGGTGTCATCTGACCTTGACCTCATTTTCATGGTTCAGTGGTCAAAGTTAAGTTTTTGAGTTTTGGTCTTTTTCTCTTATACTATATGCAATAGTTCAACTATATTTGGTGTATGGAAATATTTTATGATCTATATGTCAGTCACGCAGGTTTTATTTGACCTTGACCTCATTTTCAAGGTTCATTGCTCAGTGTTAAGTTTTTGTGTTTTGGTCTGTTTTTCTTCAACTATAAGCAATAGGTCAACTATATTTGTTGTATGGAAGAATTGTTAGCTGTACATGCCTGCCTAGCATGGTTCATCTGACCTTGACCTCATTTTCATGGTTCATTGGTCAATGTTTAGTTAACTTGGTTAATGTTAAGTTTATGTGACAGTTGTAATAAAGCTTTATATTTAGGACTATCAACATAATATCAATGATAAGTAAAGAAGGCGAGACATTTCAGCGTGTGCACTCTTGTTTTATATATTAACAAGTTTATTTTGGCCAAAAGATGTGGCCAATGTTTTTCAGAAGAAAGTAGACATTATACATGCATAAAAATAGGCAATCTGTTTAAAATCCTGTGAAATATCATACTTTCGGCTGTTATCTGCTCTTTGGCCGGGTTGTTGTCTCTTTGACATATTCCCCATTTCCATTCTCAATTTTATTTTGAAGCTTAAAATGGACTGCAGACAGAAAAAAAGGGTTTAGTTTATCTAAAGTTACATATTTAAGATTGAAAATATATGTTTTTACGTATGATATTACAAATTAAAATTTTTAGGCCAAATTAAGGCCAGTGCGGCCCTTCTCCTTTGCATTCTTAGCCAAATTTTAGATAAAATATTAGATTAATTTCAGATTAACATAATTTTTCTGGTATTTTCAGAACACCAGCTACAACAACAAGTACCAGAAATATAACTGCATCTTCATCACAGATCTCTACAAAAGGCACAAAATAAAAACTGATGTGGCCAAAAATTTGTTTTAATGTTTGTTTTATTTTAACACATTTGTGTTACTAACATTCACATTCTCTGTCCATTAATGATTTATTGTCCACTGTGAGGGTTATCTAAATTGACCATTTTCAAGACTCATAGATCACTCATTTAAGTGTCTTGGTTATTTTAACTAATAGGTCAACTACAGTTGGTGTATAGAATGATTGTAATTGGAACATGTCTGTCTGATAGGTTTCATCGGATCTTGACCTTATTTTCATCATATTTGTGAAGTTATTGTAGTAGGACCAGTCACCTTGATTTGAAAAAAAACCTTTCAACATAAAACTAAGCCCTAATTAGTAGAGCAGGCTATATATTAATTTTTGTGTGCACTCTTGTCAGATGTTTTATGGATATGTAATCTTTTGGTTTTTTTTGCAAGAATGTACAAGTTGATGGAAGAAATATATAACTTAAAATTATGTATTTATGTTATCCTTTGCTATAGATGTTAATATGGATAATTGTGCACATCATATAGCTGAAGTACTGATTATTTGATATATGAAACAAAAATTAACCATTGTGTATAGCTATCTTGTCTACCAAAATTATTGTTTTTTTGTAAACTATTGAAAAAGCACATACTGTTACTGAGAAGTATATAAATAGATGATAGTTGTATCTCAATTAACTTCAATAAATATACTTGAATAATTGTTCTTTTTACTTTTTTAGCTATTCTCATCACTTGTCGTCCGTCGTCGTCATTGTCCGTCGTCGTTAGTTTTTTCCAAAAATCTTCTCCTCTGAAACCACTGGGCCAATTTAATCAAACTTGGCCACAATCATCGTTAGGGTATCTAGTTTAAAAATCTGTCCGATGACCACGCCAACCAACCAAGATGGCCACCATGGCTAAAAATAGAACTTAGGGGTAAAATGTAGATTTTGGCTTATATCTCTGAAACCAAAGCATTTAGAGTAAATCTGACATAGGGTAAAACTGATTATCAGGTCAAGATCTATCTGCCCTGAAATTTTCATACAAAACTGACAACCTAATGTTGGGTTGCTGCCCCTGAATTGGTAATTTTAAGGAAATTTTGCAGTTTTTGGTTATTATCTTGAATATTATTATAGATAGAGATAAACTGTAAACAGCAATAATGTTCAGCAAAGTATGGGAAATTCATACTTTTTTGAACATTTAAATTTTTGTTTAATCTATACCGAACAAAATCCAGGTAAATTGGTACCCAACGAAAAATAAGGAATCCACAGTAAGGTTTTGTGTAATCGACTTTCAGTCCTTGGAAGAACAGTTAATCAATTAACCTTTAAAAGTTGACAGCACTAATTTATTTTCTTTGTTATGATTAACTGCCATGCAAGAAGTAATCTTTGGATTTATGTTTAGCATGTCAGATGAGATTTAAAACACCTTAGATTTTTACAAGTTGCACATAAATAGTTTTTCACCTTCATCAAATGACCTCAATATCTATTAAGGTAGAAGTTGGAGCATAGCTTCAGTTGAAATGTTTGTGTCTATTGTAGCAGAATTGCCTGGGTAGCTAATGTAAAAGTACAATTCTTACTAGAGTCCATTTTTAGCTCACCTGGCCTGAAGGGCCAAGTGAGCTTTTCTCATCAATTTGCGTCCGTCTTCGTCGTTGTCGTCCGGCGTCGTCTGTTAACTTTTACAAAAATCTTCTCCTCTGAAACCACTGGGCCAAATTTAACCAAACTTGGCCACAATCATCATTAGGGTATCTAGTTTAAAAAATGTGTCCCATGACCCCGCCAACCAACCAAGATGGCCGCCATGGCTAAAAATAGAACATAGGGGTAAAATGAAGATTTTGGCTTATATCTCTGAAACCAAAGCATTTAGAGTAAATCTGACATAGGGTAAAACTGATTATCAGGTCAAGATCTATCTGCCCAGATATTTTCAGACAAATCTGACAACCTGTTGTTGGGTTGCTGCCCCTGAATTGGTAATTTTAAGGAAATTTTGCAGTTTTTGGTTATTATCTTGAATATTATTATAGATAGAGATAAACTGTAAACAGCAATAATGTTCAGCAAAGTAAGATCTACAAATAAGTCATCATGACCAAAATTGTCAGTCGACCCCTTTAGGAGTAATTGCCCTTTATAGTCAATTTTTAACAATTTTTCTTAAATTTTTGTTATCTTTTACAAAAATCTTCTTCTCTGAAACTACTGAGACAAATTTAACAATACTTGGCCATAATCATTAATAGGGTATTTTGTTTAAAAAATGTGTCCGATGACCCCGCCAACCAACCAAGATGGCGGCCATGGCTTAAAATAGAACATGGAGGTAAAATGTAGATTTTGGCTTATATCTCTGAAACCAAAGCATTTAGAGTAAATCTGACATAGGGTAAAACTGATTATCAGGTCAAGATCTATCTGCCCAGACATTTTCAGACAAATCTGACAACCTGTTGTTGGGTTGCTGCCCCTGAATTGGTAATGTTAAGGAAATATTGCTGTTTTTGGTTATTATCTTGAATATTATTATAGATAGAGATAAACTGTAAACAGCAATAATGTTCAGCAAAGTAAGATCTACAAATAAGTCATCATGACCAAAATTGTCAGTCGACCCCTTTAGGAGTTATTGCCCTTTATAGTCAATTTTTAACAATTTTTCTTAAATTTTTGTAATCTTTTACAAAAATCTTCTTCTCTGAAACTACTGAGACAAATTTTACCATACTTGGCCATAATCATTATTAGGATATCTAGTTAAAAAATTTGTCGGATGACCCCGCCTTCCAACCATCATGGCCGACTTGGTTAAAAATAGAATATAGGGGTAAAATGCAGTTTTTGGTTTATATCTCTGAAACTAAAGCATTTATAGCAAATCAGACAGGTGGCAAAAATGTTCATCAGATTTAGATTTATTTGCCCTGAAATTTTCAGACGAATCCGACAACCCGTTGTTGGGTTGCTGCCTCTGAGTTAGTAATTTTACAGAAATTTTACAGTTTTTAGCTCACCTGACCTGAAAGGTCAAGTGAGCTTTTCTCATCACTTTGCGTCCGTCGTCCGTCGTCCGTAAACTTTTACAAAAATCTTCTCCTCTGAAACTACTGGGCCAAATGCACCCAAACTTAAACACAATCATCATTCAAGTATCTAGTTTAAAAAATGTGTCCGATGACCCTGCCAACCTACCAAGATGGTCGCCATTGCTAAAAATAGAACATAGGGGTAAAATGTAGATTTTGGCTTATATCTCTGAAACCAAAGCATTTAGAGCAAATCTGACGTGGGGTAAAATTGTTTATCAGGTCAAGATCTATCTGCCCTGAAATTTTCAGATGAATCGGACAACCCGTTGTTGGGTTGCTGCCCCTGAATTGGTAATTTTAAGGAAATTTTGCCGTTTTTGGTTATTATCTTGAATATTATTATAGATAGAGATAAACTGTAAACAGGAATAATGTTCAGCAAAGTAAGATCTACAAAAAAGTCACTTGACCAAAATGGTCAGTTGACCCCTTAAGGAGTTATTGCCCTTTATAGTCAATTTTTAACCATTTTTCGTAAATTTTTGTAATCTTTTACAAAAATCTTCTCCTCTGAAACTACTAAGACAAATTTAACCAAACTTGTCCACAATCATCATTAGGGTATTTAGTTTAAAAAATGTGTCCGGTGACCCGGCCAACCAACCAAGATGGCCGCCATGGCTAAAAATAGAACATAGGGGTAAAATGTAGATTTTGGCTTATATCTCTGAAACCAAAGCATTTAGAGCAAATCTGACATGGGGTAAAATTGTTTATCAGGTCAAGATCTATCTGCCCTGAAATTTTCAGTTGAATCGGACAACCCGTTGTTGGTTTGCTGCCCCTGAATTGGTAATTTTAAGGAAATTTTGCCGTTTTTGGTTATTATCTTGAATATTATTATAGATAGAGATAAACTGTAAACAGCAATAATGTTCAGCAAAGTAAGATCTACAAATAAGTCAACTTGACCAAAATGGTCAGTGACCCCTTAAGGAGTTATTGCCCTTTATAGTCAATTTTTAACCATTTTTCGTAAATTTTTGTAATCTTTTACAAAAATCTTCTCCTCTGAAACTACTATGACAAATTTAACCAAACTTGTCCACAATCATCATTAGGGTATTTAGTTTAAAAAATGTGTCCGATGACCCCACCCGCGAACAAGATGGCCGATATGGCTAAAAAATAGTACATAGGGTAAAATGCAGTTTTTGGCTCATATCTCTGAAACCAAAGCATTAAGAGCGAAGCTGATGAGGATAAAATTGTTCATTAGGTCAAGATCTATCTGCCCTGAAATTTTCAGACCAATCAGGCAACCCGTTGTTGGGTTGCTGCCCCTGAATTGGTAATTTTCAGGAAATTTTGCCGTTTTTGGTTATTATCTTGAATATTATTATAGATAGAGATAAACTGTAAACAGCAATAATGTACAGCAAAGTTAGATCTACAAATAAGGCAACATGACCAAAATTGTCAATTGACCCCTTAAGGAGTTATTGCCCTTTATAGTCAATATTTTACAATTTTCATAAATTTTGTAAATTTTTGTAAATTTTTACAAAGTATTTTCCACTGTAACTACCGGGCCAAGTTCATTATGGATAGAGATAATAGTAAGGAGCAAGAATGTTCAGTAAAGTAAGATCTACAAACACATCACCATCACCAAAACACAATTTTGTCATGAATCCATCTGTGTCCTTTGTTAATATGCACATAGACCAAGGTGAGCGACACAGGCTCTTTAGAGCCTCTAGTTCTTTTTATCAGCAATTTCTCTTAACCGTATTTTTTTTTTGCTTGAGAATATGAAGTAAAATGAAATAATAAGTAAAACTACTTTTTCGCATACAAAATGTTTGGATAGCTGTTGGGTTGTATGAATGAAGTTGTCTAATTGGCAATACATAACATCTCCTTATTATTAAATAAACATAATTATGACCCAAGGTTACTGTCAAACAGTGCTTCACTGCTTAAGGTCATAAGCAAGTTGACTGAGTTGTGTTTACCTAAATTTCAGTTAAAAGCATGGCATTAGGAAAGGATATATGTCAAATTTAAAGCCACACTCCAAAATGAAGGTGTATGATCATTTTGTAAAAATCGTAATTGTATGTCCAGCTGCAATTAACAAAATTAAGTTATATGGGCAAGTAATTGTAACAATGAGTATTGCATTTAAGCATGACTATAGCAATAAATATTTTTATTGTAAAAGATATAATATATCTTGTTCTTGGCTTAAAATATAAAGTGAAACATAGACTGCATTAAATATCCAGACCAAACTTTATTATTACAGTGCTTTAGTTATTTTTTATACATTGTAATAAAGCACTCATTCATTATGATATTTTTTTCAAAATAGTTGAATATTGAATAACTCATTCTCACTTAGTATAAGTACAGAGCACACACTGTCTGTTCATAATGTTTTATGTATGAGATATTTTGGAAATGAAACAGTTTATATTAACAATATTATTTTGCAAGATTATTAATGCTGATGCCTGTTCTCTGACATGTCTGAGCAAAATGAAGGTTATTGAAAAAATATACTGTAAAATTATGGAATTATGAGGTGTGCAAAAATAGCAAAATTACTTTGATAATATTTTACTGGAAAGAAATACATGCCAAAATGTGCTTTTTATTTATTCTACACAGAACAATAACAACATATTTTGTACACCTATACTAAAAGTACATGTATCTTTAAAACAGGTCTATTCTACCTAAAGCAAAGGTACTGGCTCTGACCAGCACAGCTAGTACAGAAACCCAGAAGAGTATAAAAGTAGCTATGCTTATGAAAGATGCTGTCACTTTTCAAAGTTGTATTGCCCGTTCAAACATAAAATTATTTGTAAAGAGAAGACCAAATTACAAGGACGGAAGTGAAGAAAGTTTTTTGGTATATATATCACAGCATCAATTTACCAGTAGTATTGCACATACATTGTACATTGGTTATCTTTACATTTAAAAAAAGATGTTCACTCCTACCCAAAACATTTATTGCAAAAATACTGCAGTAATGATAATTACTGGCAAATACATTGTCACACACAGTACTAAAGACTACAGCACTCCTGCAGTAAAAATAACTACTAAACTAATGGTAAATACATTGTCACACACAGTACTAAAAACTACAGCACTCCTGCAGTAAAAATAACTACTAAACTAATGGTAAATACATTGTCACACACAGTACTAAAAACTACAGCGCTGCTGCAGTAAAAATAACTACTTAACTAATGGTAAATACATTGTTACACACAGTACTAAAAACTACAGCACTGCTGCAGTAAAAATAACTACTTAACTAATGGTAAATACATTGTCACACACAGTACTAAAAACTTCAGCACTGCTGCAGTAAAAATAACTACTTAACTAATGGTAAATACATTGTCACACACAGTACTAAAAACTACAGCACTGCTGCAGTAAAAATAACTACTTAACTAATGGTAAATACATTGTCACACACAGTACTAAAAACTACAGCACTGCTGCAGTAAAAATAACTACTTAACTAATGGTAAATACATTGTCACACATAGTACTAAAAACTACAGCACTGCTGCAGTAAAAATAACTACTTAACTAATGGTAAATACATTGTCACACACAGTACTAAAAACTACAGCACTGCTGCAGTAAAAATAACTACTTAACTAATGGTAAATACATTGTCACACATAGTACTAAAAACTACAGCACTGCTGCAGTAAAAATAACTACTTAACTAATGGTAAATACATTGTCACACACAGTACTAAAAACTACAGCACTCCTGCAGTAAAAATAACTACTTAACTAATGGTAAATACATTGTCACACACAGTACTAAAAACTACAGCACTGCTGCAGTAAAAATCATGAAAATAACTACTTGATTAATGGCAAATACAATTGCATACACAGTACAACACACTACATAATGAAGTATAATAAATCATTCTGTTTGACACAGACAATTGTAAACTAAGAATACATTTGCACATTTTAATATTCAATAATTGTTCTATGCATCTAAAAATTCTATACAATTTTCTGTGATACTTTTATAGTGTTGAACATGTTGAAAAAGTTTTGATTTAACATGTTTTAAGGAAGAAAATGTAAAATCATGAAGATGAATTTAATTTCTTTTTCCAAAAACCAGAAAAGTAATATTTATAAATGAAAAATTAAGCAATTATTAGGTTTTTAATCTAATTGAATGTACAAAACTAATATTATAGGTGACAATTAAGCCATTTGTTGAGGAGTTAAAAGAAAAAAAGGATTCTTTTCCCAAAACAGTAATTTACTGTAACTTGAAATGGTGTGGGGCAGGGTATGAAGAATGTCAGAGACACTTGACAATAGATGACATGAAGCAGCTAGTAGCCCAGTATCATGCTTCTTGTACAAATCAGGTTAACATTTGAAAAGAGTTTATGTATATATTAGTTATTACCTTCTTATTTTTTCAGATTTGTAATATTCTTGCATGTTGTAATGATTATGTTTGTGTTTGTTGTGAAGAAAAGAAGACCAAATTTAAGCATTTTCACTGGTTTAAACATTGTGTCAGATTTTAAGTTTGATTTTTCTGCACTATGTTTGATCCATTGTTATGCAACAATATCTCCAAGCTCATGTCGGACATACAAATAATGGAAGATGGCTTAACGGTACAGAATTTAAAGTAACAGTTTTATTTCAAACTTAAATTAATTCATTGTCTAAAACTTCTTTTTTGTCACATGGTTTCTTTTTTATGATTTTAATTTTGTAATTCTATTTCTTTTGCAGCAGTTATTAAGCATCCGGAAAAGATGATGCAATATCGAAGATTGATTTAATAATAAAAAAGGAAATTTTAATGTACAAAGTGTGTATTTAAATGAGGCCAATATTTATTATTATTAAGTGTGTAAAAAGCAGCTGAATTACTGAAAGCAAAAACGAATAAAAGGCAAACAGGTAAAAATAGTTGTTGAAATGATGTTAAATGAAACAAATATTCCATATAGTGCAAATATATATATTAAAATGATCTATCTAACTACTATTTTTCTGTAATTAAGAGAGCAATTTTCAATACTGTAAATTCAGAAATTATTGTGTGCATTTATTATTGCGATTTTGTCATTTCAGACCAAAATACGATTATTATTTCTGTGATTCTGAGAAAAATCCCGCTTTATTTAAAGAAATCCAAAATGCGAGTTTAAATTATTGCGATTACAACCCTGTCGCATTTTTCACAATAATAAAAACATCGCAATAATTTCTGAATTTACAGTAACTGTACCATAAATATTTCAACAAAATCATTTAGTTATGTTTCATTGTGTTTTTACAGATGAAAGACTATGTGGTTCATTCTATGGGAGAATTTGGGAAAACCAGACTTTTATTTGCCACTGAGGCTTATAGTATGGGTACAGATACCCCAAATATAAGAAGGATAATTCACTTTGGTGTTCCAAAGTCTGTTGAGTGTAAGTTTCTGTAATAAATTAACAGCCTATCTAATAATTAAGGAGTCCTTATATATGCTTACAACAACGCATAATTTAAAACCATACTGAACTTAAAATACCATTGTTGTTTCTTCACCCCTATAGTTAATCACAACATCTTATATAATTTCCTGTAAATACTTAAGGTTATTCATACACACCAAAAAGGAGACGGAAGGAGTTTTCTCCAATTTATTCCTAACCATAAAGTTTTTATGATAATTAAACTGTTACTATTTGTTCATTTTAGAAATGAAGAAATGGTAACAGTTTCATTATTTCTAAAACGGTAAGAGGTACATTAAGTGTGTTAAGACATTACTGATTGATATTTCAATTTATCCCCATGAAGTTGTGATTTATTGGAAAATTTTATGATTCAATTACCTACATGCATATTAGTTCTGCACTACAGGTTGTTTCAACTTGACATGTTATTGTCTATGTTTGTCAGGATCTCTTGTAAATTCAATTACTTTTAGCATACATGCAAGAGGTAGGGAGGGCTGGCAGAGATGGTACCAATGCAGAAGCTATCATGTTTTACAACAATAATGATGTAGCAAAAAATGTAGTTGGCCTTGACCTAAAAATGGCAGATTTCTGCAGAACAGATGAGTGCAGGTGGAATTTCTTGTGTCACCATTTTGGATGTCCTCAAGAAAGGTCATTAAGAGATCATATGTGTTGCGATAACTGTGTTTACAAGTGTTCCTGTCCAGAATGTTCCGGTAAGGGCAGATATGTAAACAAAAATTGCTGTTAGATCTGAAAGTACGTTTAAAACTATTATGTCATGTACATAACAAAGTTTTTGTTATTAGAAACACAACAGCTTGAAGTAAAGCAAAATGTTATTTTTTTGTACTTTGACACTCTCTGAAAAAGTTCTAAGTGCAAAACTTATAACTTGAGCATTGTCTTTAATTAATCTATATAAATTAGTTTTTATACGACCGCAAAACATTTTTGTGGTCGTATATTGGTATGACGTTGGCGTCGTCGTCGTCCGAAGACACATTAGTTTTCGCACTCTAACTTTAGTTTAAGTGAATGGATCTCAATGAAATTTTACCATAAGCTTCAATACCACAGAAGGAAGGTGGGGATTGATTTTGGGGGTTATGGTACCCAAAGTTAAGGAATTAGAGGCCAAAAAGGGGCCAAAAATAAGCATTTTTGTAACTTCCAGGCATAACTTGTGTGTAAGTGTATGGATCTCTCTGACATTGTACCACAAGGTTCCATATCACAAAGGGAATGCTGGGATTGATTTTGGGGGTAATTGCCTCCAAGTTTTAGGAATTAGGGGCAAAAAACAAGCATTTTTCTAGTTTCATGAC